GGAGACAAACAAAAGGACTGAAAAATGCATCTTCTGAATCTGGAAGCGGGGGGAACTCTACCAAACTCATTTTACAAGGTCACCATCACCCTGATACCAAAACCGGACAGATATCACAATAAAAGACAATTACATGTCAATATTCCTGATGAACATAGATGCAAAAATCCTCAACAAAATATTAGCAAAGCAAATTCAGCAATTCATTAAAAGGATCATACAGCATGATCAAGTAGGATTTATTGCAGGGATGCAAGGATGGTTCAACATCCACAAATCAGTAAATGTGTTCCACCAAATTAACAAAATAAAGGATAAAAATCATGATCATCTCAATAGATGCAGAAAAAGCATTTGACAAAATTCAACAACCATTTAGGATAAAAACTCTCAAAAAAGTGGGCATAGAGGGAATGTATCTCAACATAATAAAGGCCATATATGACAAGTCCACAGCTAACACCATACTCAACAGTGAAAAGCTGAAAGCTTTTCTTCTAAGATCAGGAACAAAATAAGGATGCCCACTCACCATTTTTATTCAACATAGTATTGGAAGTCCTAGATAAAAAGCAATCAAGACAAGAAAAAGAAATAAGAGAAATCCAAATTGGAAAGGAAAAAGTCAAACTGTCACTATTTGCAGATGACATGATATTATATATAGAAATTTAAAGGCTCCATCAAAAAACTGTTAGAATAACCGAATTCGGTGAAGTTGTAAGATACAAAATCAATATACAATAAGTCTGTTGCATTTCTATATAACAAACTATCAAAAAAGAGAAATTAAGAAAACAATCTCATTTGCAATTGCATCAAAAAGAATAAAACACCTAGGAATAACTTTAACCAAGTAGGTGAAAGACCTGTATTGAAAACTACAAGGCATTAATGAAAGAAACTGAAGACAACACAAATAAACAAAAAATGTTCTGTGTTCATGAACTGGAATACTGTTAAAATGTCCATACTGCCCAAATTAATATACAGATTCAATGCAATCCCTATAAAAATTACAATGGTATTTTTCACAGAAATAGAAAATAAATCTAAAATTTGTACAGAACCACAAAAGACCCCAAATAACCACAGCAATCTTGAGTAAGAAAAACAACACTGGAGGCATCACACTCCCTGATGTCAAATCATATTACAAAGCTACAATAATTAAAACAGATGGTATTGGTATAAAAACAGATACAGAGATCAATGGACCAGAATAGAACCCAGATATAAACCCAAACATATATGGTCAATTAATTTACAACAAAGGAACCAAATATATACAATGGAGAAAGGACAGCCTCTTCAATAAACAGTGTTGGGGAAACTGGACAGCCACATGCAAAAGAATGACCACTATCATACACTATACACAAAAATTAACTAAAAATGGATTAAAAAACTTGAACCTAAGACCTAAAATCATAAAACTCCTAGAAAAAACATAAGCAGTAAGCTCCTTGACACAGGTCTTGTCATGATATTTTTGAATCTGACACCAAAAGCAAAAACAAAAATAAACAAGCAGGACTATATCAAACTAAAAAGCTTCTACACAGCAAAGGAAACCATCAACAAAATGAAAAGGCAACCTACTTAATAGGAGAAAATATTTGCAAATCATAGGTCTGATAAGGGGCTAATATCCAAAATATGTAAAGAATTCATACAACTCAGCAACACAATAAATAGTCCAATTAAAGAATGAGATATAAATAAACATTTTTCCAAAGACATTCAGACGGCCAACAGGTACATGAAAATATGCTCTACATCATTATCGGGGAAATGTAAATCAAAACCACAGTGAAATATCACACCTGTTAGAATGGTTATTATCAAAAAGACTAGAAACAACAGGTGTTGGCGAGGATGCAGAGAAAAGGGAACCCTTGTACACCGTTGGTGGGAATGTAAATTGGTGCAGCACTATGGAAAACAGTATGGAGGTTACTCAAAAAATTAAAAACAGAACTACCATATGATCCGGCAATTCCATTTCTAGGCATTTACTGAAGAAAATGAAAACACTAACTTGAAAAGATATATGCACCCCCATTTTCACTGCAGCATTATTTATAATAGTCAACATACAGAAACAAAGTGCCCATCAATGGATGAGCGGATAAAAAGTTGTGAGACACACAGGAATATTACTGAGCCATAAAAAAGAACGAAATCTTGCCATTTAAGACAACATGGATGGACTTCAAGGGCATTGTACCACATGAAGTAAGGCACACAGAGAAAGACAAATACTGTATGATCTCTCTCATATTTGGAATCTAAAAACAAAAAATCAAGCTCATAGATACAGAGGACAGATTGGTGGCTGTAAGAGGTAGGAGTGGAGGGTGGGGAAAATGGGTGAAGAGCCACCAAACCGACTTCTAGAGCATTGAAGAGCCTACTCAGAATTAGGTAGAAACTTTGCAAATGGGCCATTATCACCAGTATCAGTTCTTAAAGAAGTTCTTTATTGTTTCCTATACTTAAAAAAATTTGTAATTTTAACATTCCAAAAAGATAAACACTATTCTGTCAGGTGGTCCAGGTGGCCATTAACTCCAAGAATCCAGCTAAAGAAGGCTTTTTCTTGGTTCCACAATTAACTATGTAATGATACAGACTGAAGTACCTAAGTTAGCCTTTTTTGGGGGTGCCTGCTTAACAAAGTATGAGATTTCAAAATTATTAAGATAGAACAGTGACATAAGTTCATTTTTTGTAGATATAACACTATTTGAAATTATCTTATGTAGTTACTTATCTAGGCTGTTATTTTCTGTATTGACTCCTGGTATTTATGGTCTATGAGATCATGTCTCATGTGATCTTGCCCAGAACATAGAGTAGTTCCTGTCTTGTAGGAGGTGCTCCAAATTGCTGCATAAAGGTAAATGAACAAATGAATAAACTTCTGCACCTATTTTGCACGTTATTTGTAAAACACTTTTTAACTTCTCTAGTAGTACTGCCTTCCTCCCTTTTCCTTGCATCTCTACAAAGAAAGTTGTCTAGGGCAAAATAAATTACAACACGGTCACTGGATTTGGCCCCAAGTCCTATAAAACCTGTTTGTTTTTGTGCATTTGGTCCAGCAGCGAGCAAATACTTAATGAAGAAAGCTAATTGTAGTTTTCTAATCAGGAGGGTGGCACATTATTACTTCATAGTCTGAACCAGTCCTTTCTCTTTTCTCCTTTCTGCTGAAGATTTACAGTCAACATGCAGCTTAATGAGATGGTTTTAAAGTGAGCTTTAAAAAAAAAAAGTTTGGGCTTCCCTGGTGGCGCAGTGGTCGAGAGTCTGCCTGCCGATGCAGGGGACATGGGTTCGTGCCCCAGTCCAGGAAGATCCCACATGCTGCGGAGCAGCTGTGCCCGTGGGCCATGGCCACTGAGCCTGCGCGTCTGGAGCCTGTGCTCCGCAACGGGAGAGGCCACAACAGTGAGAGGCCCGCGTACCACAAACAAAAACAAAAAAAATGCATGTGTTTATAGACTCTTAGGCTTATATTTAGTCATCTATTTGGTAGGAGTGGGTGAACAGATAATTGTACTTTAAATGTCAGGATTTGAAGGGTGATTTTTTTTTTTTGGTACGCGGGCCGCTCACTGTTGTGGCCTCCCGTTGCGGAGCAGAGGCTCTGGACGCGCAGGCTCAGCGGCCATGGCACACGGGCCCAGCCGCTCTGCGGCATGTGTGGGATCTTCCCGGACCGGGGCACGAACCCGTGTCCCCTGCATTGGCAGGCGGACTCTCAACCACTGCGCCACCAGGGAAGCCCTGGAGAGTGAACTTTATTAACTTACCAAATTGGAAATCTTTGAAATTTTAAGAATTATAGTGAAAAATCAGTGGTAGATTCACTGTACAAAATTTCCTTTATCAATATTAGACTTGAGCCTTAAAACTTTATGTCAAACTCACTTGGCATTACGTACATCTACAGACAAGTCAGTGTCTATTATTGTTACTTACTGAAGAAAAGCTGACAGTGATATAAAAATGTTGGCTATTATTTTTTCTCTTGGTACATATTTAAAGACTCTTTGATTACCACCCTTCATTTTATCCCTTCAACCTCCTAGGGATTGCTTAATTATCAAACACCTGGCTTTTTTTTTTTCAAGCTTTATATTCTAAAGTTTTCTAGATAAGAAATGAAAAAAAGTAACTCACTGATTTACCGTATTGAGTTGGCACAGGGTAACAAATTTGTGCCAATATAATACTAAAGAATGGCATATTTCTGAACCTTTAGCTGAGTGGAATTAAGTGAGCCAAACATACAATTGATGGAATTGAAATTTTATCTAGGAGTCCCAAGGATGTTTAGATGCCAGTGTTATTTAATATGCTTGCTGGTATATGGCACAGAAAACTCAGCCCCGTCAATCCTAGAGTTAGAGAATTGAGGCAGCCTCCCTGTTTCTACAGATTGTAACCATCACAGGGGGAGGAACCTTGCCTCTTAGAGCAGCATCTCCAGCACATAACATACTGCCTGAACACTCTGTGTGTGTGTGTGTGTGTGTGTAAATAGAAAAATAAAAAGAAAAGCAAAACAAAACTCAGAAATTCATGCCCACAGTGTATCACATCAGGCTACCCACTCAGATCCTATGCCCAAATGCCAGCACTCATTGATGCTATATAAGTCCAAAAAATACTAGGTAAACCAAAAGTTTCAATCTATTAAAAACTTCTGCAGAAGATCCCTAATTCTTAACTAACGCAAAATTCTAAACCTTGCAATGGCAATGAATAAGAACTTTCACAAAGCAAAAACTGTAAAACACAATATGCAAACAGCAGCAGCTCTCTATCCAAAAGCCCCACATGTACAAGGTAAATGTACTAACATGCCAGTAAGTAGATCATTACATGACAACGCCCAACATATAAGGGATACCAAATAAACAACAGTGATGGTTCTGTGACAGACATATATGGTGGATGTAAAATAAAACTGCACAACAGAGACAAAATAAAAATTAAAGCTTCTCCAGTTTTTATTACTTGGCTAAAAACACAGCAATTCGTTTTTTCTCCTTTGTTTCTCCTTTAGGTGAAAAAGAAAAAATGTCATACAATGACTGTTGTAACAGCATATTTTAGTTGAAACACTTCACAAACAGGTAATAGAAAGTTAAGCTCTACTTCCCTCCTCCCGAAAACCATTCTCTAAAGTTTCTCTTTTGGGTAAAAAGAGGAAACATTAAGGCAGAAATATTTTATTGGTATGATTAAAGAGGGTTAATAGTATTTAGTCACCACAAAAATTTTAACAAAATCACTTGTCCTGCAACTTCAAAGGATGTCAAAATGAAGTTCCATTTTGCAGAAAATGTAGCATTTATTCATTTCAATTCAAAGTAGAAACAATATTATTTAGTTCATTTCTTTAAGTTATAAAACTTGTGCATAGACCTGGACCCACAGATGCATGTATTCAAAGTTGATTGTAAAATAAATTACCAACAATAAGCTATATCATATTGAAAAAAAGTTTACACTTTAACACTTATGGATTAAAAAAAATATTTTAAATAAAAGTAGTGGCAAATGTCAACAACATTAAAAGATTTGGAAATGAACATATCAGCAATGTGAAGATTTGAAAATGAAAAGCCATTTTATGAGCAACTTTGATATAATTTTTAAAGTTACCTCATTTTCAGCCAAAAGTTAATTATGATAGGAAAGGGTGAAAAAGAAAGAATACTCAAGATTAACAGATTTTGAGTTTTTCAATTAGGATCTTTAATTTTGAGGGACTATGAGAAAGAACAAAAAACAGACCTTGGATTGAGTTCAATAAATAATTTATATCACATCATTTAATCTCTTTTAAATGGAAACAAGACTTAAGTTTTATGTTATCCCCTCAAAGGACGAATTGTAATGATCCTTAGCGATGTTTCGTGAAAGGCATACACAAAATAATGAAAACTATTAATTCTAAGCTAAGGAAAAGTTTAACAAGAGGCTGAAGATCATCATTTTAATTTGGATCTTACAATGGAATGGCCCAAACATGAATAGTTATATTTGCATAACTGATGCTAATATTTCAGCATCATTCTAATTTTAATAGATATAAGGTGAAAGCAAGCAGAGCTTATTTGAACAAGAGCCAGTCACTTAAAGTTCAGGTTCTCACCTATACAAACTTGTGGGGAGAAAAGCTTCCTAGGCAAGTTTAAATTCTGAGAAGAAACTGGTACTTTTTTTAAAGAGTAATAATATTTAAGTTTTAACATTTAAGTCAACTAAGTCTTTTAAAAATTAATGCATTTCAAGAACAGCAATATACATTTACTTCATGAATAAAAAATAAAAATCCCAGAACTATGAAAAAGGTGGATGCTAAGGACAAGACACACAACAGAGTAATAGACAAATACAGAGCCTTATTCTGAAGCCACTCAAAGATCCAAACATCTAAAATAAAAACAATGTGCTGGGAAAAAAAGACAACCTAAAAAGAAAAAAAAAAAATTTTTTTTTTCCAGAAAACATTTGTTTAGAACTCCAATAATCTTTTGGTTACTTAAAATCTTTCTACTTATATATTTAGCCTAATCCTAAAGGAATTTAATTTAAAAAGCCAGTGGTGCAACATTTATTTTTAGAGTCACATTTCTGCTACTCTTTACTTTCTTTCAAAGGTTCTGGGGTAATGTTTTATTTTTAGAACTGCTGTATAATTGTGACATTCACTTCTAACTTTACTAGTCTTTATAAACATGGCATATAACTATATACTAGAAAAATACAATTAAGTAGTTTTAATAAACACTGATGGGACAATCAGTTTGCCAAATAACTTACAGTCATATTAACCAGTACTGCTAGTTATGCTTCTCAATAAAAATAAACAACCAACAAATAACTGTCCCAAAAAACATAAACCAACCCCATCAAAAAAGAGAAAATAAAAGTAAATACATTAATTGAGAAAGCAAGGTGCTACCTGGAAAAGAGGGCTGGGAGGAATGGGAGTTTGCACCAGATAACCTTTAAGATTACTTTCCAGCTCAACCATGTGATTCTAATAAATTACAAGATTACGGTAAATGAAAGAACATCAAATATCTAGAAAGCATAAACTATGTTTTAAAAATAAAAAAAATTCTTCAACTGTTTACAGGATATGAATTAAAATTATAACTAAGGGTTCCAAGTGGAATTGCTAGGCCAAAGAGATTTTCATTATGTAAACAAAAATCACCAGAAATATAATATGAAACAGACATTTAAAACTGTCTCAGGTAAGAATTTGTCCTTTTAAAAGCTAAGCCCTCCAAATAGATAATTTTAATCATCTGATACATTAGGACTGAAAACATTTCAGCAAGGTAAATACTTGATAAAATAAAAATCATTATTTTTTATAATACTATATCCAGAAAAATCAGGTCCTCAGATATAAAATTTGGCCTAAAAATAAGTATACCAAATTGTTCTCTACCACTGAGATTTTAACTAAAATATTTTCGAATTAGTTGAAATTTAGAGTTAGAAGTCTAATAATAATAACAACAGTGTTATGAGATCAACTGCCAGAATTTGTCATTTTATTACTCTTTTCTATGAGCCTCCATACTGGACTGCTTACAGAGTTCATCAAAGCACTTGGAATCAAGGATCATCACTTCTTTATTTAACCAAAACATAACAGTTCCCAATAAGAAGTGTTTTGTAATTTATGCCAAAAATACCACGGACGCCACCAGAAAAGCAATGTGCTAAGTGCTAATTAGTAGCCTATTCATTTTAATTAAAGGTCAATGGATCAGGAAGCCATTATAAAAGTTTTGATCAGTGCTGGTTTTACACATCTTAAAAATCTCTATAGCTACAACTTATTAAAATTACTAACAGATCTACAATCTACAAAACAGATAAGGTTAATTAAGTCAACCTTAAAATAAATTTCCTTCCTTTCGTATGCTCACAATATAAATTTAGAAAGGAATGTTTTAAAACCACAGTAATAAAATCAGTTCATTAAATAAAGATTTATCAGTCTATTTAACAATTTTTAAAAAAAGTACCTTTAAGTAGTTAAGGACTCTAAAAAAGTCAAGTTTTGCCAGCTCTCTTTTATATTGGATAGATTTTTGCCCTAGATGACCTTATAGTAGTTTTAAAAGCAAAAAGTCCAGACTAAGACAGTGTAATTTCTAAATTTCTTCAATGTGCATTGTATGGTATTCACATTAATAAACTACTACTGGGTCAGAAAGAGGGAGAAGAGGAAAAAAAGAATCTCTCCTAGTCCAGTTAAATTCCTTCCATTTCTAAACAGTGTAGAAAACAAATGTTTTAACTGTGTTACAATCTGAAATAAACGTGGATGAATGATATACTTGAATGTATGTTCATGTATAATTTTGGCCTTGAATTTCATGACAGTGAATGGACTAAAGTAACCTGAATAAATGTGTGTAAAAATTTGAGGGATGAGCCATGATGAATCATAACAAGCCCCATTTCCAACATCTGGTTTTAATTAAATATTGTATTTAATATAAAATGGTAAAGAAGGAACTGAACAGAAAGCATGTTACTTAAAAAAAAAAATGCATTCTAGCATTTTCAAGACCATCATGGAGAAAAACAAATTTTTACAAATGAATAGCGGAGACTCTTAAAACCAAAAATTGTGCACAATTTTTAGAATAAAACTATTCCATAAAGTAAACTGTTCAAACTAAGAAGTACATTATTTTAAGTTGAATACAATCCTTCAATATAATAATTCTGGACACTACTTTAAAGTCAGCTTCCACATGAAATCTGATGTTCTTGCTTTCCCTTTTGTGGAGTTCTCCAATATCATTATTCTACTCTGACAGTGCTAGTAGTGAATGGGAGCAAAACAGAAACCACAAATCTTTAAAGGTAAATTGAACAAGTAAAATATGTTATATTTTATAAATTCCGGGGCAGCAAAAATGTTCGAAGTTCTCTTACGACAAAACCTGGAATAGATCGATGAACCATTTACACGTGACATACTATGTAAAAATAATTGCTGCTGATTTTTAGGCTATGGATAATGGACATAGATAAATATAAAGATAGACATCTATTAGATATACACATAAACACATACATTGTATATAAATTATCAAGATACCGACTGACAATATCAGTCTATATCAGTGGTTCTTTCCACATACGTACATGCCTATGAAACTACACTGTCAGATCAAGCTCTGAGTTACCTCTCTGTTTCAAATGGATTAAAAACATCAACAACAAAAACAACGCCAAATGTATCTTTAATAGCAAGTGATCACAAACTTACATATTGAATATACCATGACAATGGAACTGCCTATTTACTAATCCCAAAAGAACTTTATGAAAAAAGCCCACAGATAAATACAAATTCCTGTAAACAACAGTATTTCCCCTTCAAAGAGTTTTTAAAACTTCTATATTTGGGATGTCTTCTCTGGATATGAATGGAAGATTTCATCAAACAAAAATTTAAAGTATTGTATTTGATCTACAATGCATGTAACCTCATTATAATTTGGATCATGCTGTGTAAATATACTAAGTTCCTTCTGAAAGTTAAATTCCTTAAAAAGTAGTTAGGGTGAATTTTAATATTACAGTTATTCTACTCAATATACATTCTACTGAGACTGACAGTTCTATTCTAAAGCAATAATACTCTTCATTTGATTTTAGCAACATGTTATCCCTACTCTGGACAATAGGTAAAACAACAATTACATAGTGAATCATTGATATTCTTCCTCAGAAAGCAGAAAGAACCTGCAAATGGGGTAGTGGTTTTTTTTTTTTTAAGTTGTCAAATGGAAAAAAAAAAAAAAATTTGGGAGAAAAGTCTTTATTCAAATACTTCTAGTACAACCAATAGAAAAACGTCCTCCCTGCAAAAAAAAAAAACCCACCAACGCTATACTGCCTTAAAAAAAAAAAATCAAATGAAGCCCTTGAGTATTTCTACACTTTCTCTTCACAGCAGCCTCAGAATTAGCTAAAAATATAAAGCATTTTAATATCTTCATAAAGGATGACTTTTTAAGTTAAAATTCCAACTACTGTACTTAAAATGCTGAAGTTGCTTTCATAAAAAAAACAATAAAATCAGCTTAAAATAAATTTATTGTACAATACAAAAAGTAGGTATACTGGAAAATAAAAGGTACATTAATATACAAAGCAAATAAAAGAAAGCTAAATAACACAAATGGTTTAATCCAAACACTAAGATAAAATGCACAACATTTATGCTAAAAATAAAGTATTTCAGAAAGGATATGCATTTCAAATGAAATGTTGATGGAAAAAAAAGAAAAACAAATATGCTAACTTCAAAATGCTTGAATATCAAGAATCAGTAATGGCAAAAAACATTAAATCCAAAAATACTGGGTACTTTACAAGAATTTTATTTGAGAAGGTATTTAAAATACTGAAAGAATCAAAATAATGTCTTTCAATCCGGCAAATGTTTTCCTTTTTTTTTTTTTTTTTAAAATAAAGTTTGGGGGCCTATTCACAATATCTTCCCTCTTCTTCCATTTATACCTTCCTACAAAAATTTCTGGATGCTCATCCTTAACAAGATTCTATAAACAAAGTAGCTTAGGTAACCCTACTCCATTGGTAAGTGTGTATTTAAGCCTTACAAACATAGTAAGTGGCACAAATTAACATAATTTTGAAATCTATACAAATATGGACACAATATGAAACATTAAGTTTCCATTTTATAAAGTAAAACCTACCTCCAAATGAAACAGTAAAATATAACAATTAGAGCACAGGGGGGAAAAAAATAAAGCCTGTTTCGCAAACTATAAATTTAGACATTCAGTTCCCCAAAGCACAATAGCTCTGTGAAACTAATTCGAATGACACTGTTCAAAGGTGTAGCAGAGGTAAGGCCTTCAGCCACACCATTCTCACATAAATGGCCAAACCAGAAGCATCCAGTTAGGATATGCATCTGTACATCAGAGGAACATTGAATTAGCCATAAAATCCTTGGTAATATCCTCTAAAACCTAACGTATAATTATTTAAATATATGTTTAATACTTCAGTTAGGCCAAAAGACTTTTGACCAAGTTTGGAAAGGAACTTCTTTTCCTAATATCATAGTTCCCAAACTCATATAATCAAGACTTTCTATATCTGTATTTGCACTAGCATCTAAATCATCCAGGAAAAAACTTTTTGGTACACTACAATTACTTTTATAGACTTTACCCTACCACGTGTATGCCATGATACTAAGAAACTACCAAGTTCTCCTTCTGACCTCACCCCTGCCCTCCAAAATCTTGAAGCTGTGGGAGAACTGTGGGGAGAACCAGAGAAGTATACAGAGGAAGGAAGAAGTGTGAATAGGTCCTACACAATTTTACAATCACTTTGCCAAGACTGACTTTAAACATTGTGAATTATTTGAAATTAGGTTGTGTAGAACCTATAGTCCTTTTCTTAAAAACAAGTTTTGATTCTCGATATTGCATTTATATAACCAAACAAAAGGATTCAGATCTAACAGGCATTTTAGTAGCATACTAACTACCTTCAGACTGAATTCATTTCCTAAATACTCTACAAGAATTCAAATAAAACAAGCTTTATGAGATGTTATTATAATTTATCATAGAAGATTCATTAGCATTTGTGAAATTATTAAAAGCTAAAAACCAAGATTCACTATTCATATTTAAATATAACATGGAAAAAGTTACGTGGATATCACGAAAATAAAATTGTTCAGGTAAACATTTCACTTGAAGACACTCCCTGTTGCTCCTTCTGAGTAACCATTATAGCTTTTTAACAATGAAACATGTCATATTACATCTGAAATTCTTTGGCTGGAATGCTTTAATAACATAAGACACTCCTGTACATGACAATTCTGACAGAACAAAGGAGTTGCAAAGTGAAAACGCAAAGACATTTTAAAGTGTTTGATAAAATTTTAAATAAATTTTTAAAACTTTAAAGCCGAAAAAAAAAAGTTAAAGCCAATCTATTACTAAAAACAGCATAATATCTTAAGCTAATTTTATAATCTACTGCTATATTAAATAATTTGGAATTTATTATTAAGTCTTTTTATTTTTGTATTTAGCTCTATTGCTACTAGAGACATCATGTCAGTTTTAAAACTGGAAAAAACAAAATGGATGAAATTTATGAGTTCAGTGTGTGGGTTTCAGAACCAAGAAATTACAAATTTGTTACTATGTTAAAATGGGATTATCTTACTGCATATATAGTTAAAATTTTAATTACACCAAGAAAAATTTTTAGAAATTTCTCCTTTCATTTTTTTAAAATAAAGCAAATTTGCTTTATTTACTTATAAATACTTTTTAAAAGACTGACAAATCCACTTTTTAATCTATTAACTTTACACAAAAATTAAAAGAAAAAAAGCTTTATGGCTCCAGCACCCAAGGTTGAGAACACAAAAAATTCAAATAAATATAGTATGCCAGAAAACTAAAGATGCTTGAAAGGTTAAATGAAGAACATTCTGAAACTAGAACCCATTTCTTTAGCTTTTCTCTCCCAGACTTTCCATTCTATATACTACAGTTGTAGAGATGTCCTCATTTGACTCAGGTGACACTTTTTTCCATACTGTCTCTTTTAAAGCAAGTTCTTGTTGGAGACTTTCATAGTCCAATGGTCCAAAGGAATGCTAGTTGTTCAAGCAACATACATAATTTATTAGTGCACTTGAGTGAAGAAAGGTCCAAGCTATAAAACGGTATTTTTCAATGAATGTTATTAAAATCTGTTAACATTTTCACCCACCACCATCTGATGTTTTGCTCCATGTTACTCATGTTGATGCCCATGGAAGTTTCTATTCTGTCGGCTTTGCATAATTCTCATATATTATTAGAAGTTACTTTGATTGGAACTAACGATAGGAAAATTTACTTAGTAAGTGTTAAAATTTTTTTCTACTTATAAGTGCTTCATACATATTAGCTTCAAGTCTAGTTAGATAATTTTACTCTAAACATTTTCCATTTGGGATGCAAAGAAATTTAAATTCAAAACAAGTCCTTTAGTGCAGTGAACAACAACAAAGACAAAAAAAAATCTTGTTCCTGGAATGTGAGCTCTGACTCCTTTAAAAAGGAGTATATATGTGCAAAAATATGAAGCCAAACACACTGATAACAAATGTTACCTTCAACTAACAGTGTCAGGAATATTGCCTTAAATATTGCATCTCTACAGAAAAATACTTCATCTATGGTGACCTATATAAAACTTACTATGAAGCTTTGTCAGGTCTCTCACTAATACTATAATCCTTTCCCATTTACATATCCATCCACATCAAAATAAACTTCAATTTAAGACTATAACTGACAAATATTAAGAGTAAAAACAGGCTTTCTCTTTATAGCATGTAGCACTTTCCAATTTGTCTTCTTTTAACAGAACCAATTTTTTAAAATATTGCTTAAAATAGCAGAAAAATGGGGGGAGGGAGAAACCCCTGCTCCTAGGCTAACCAGTTCCAATTTAAATAAAACAGTTATATTTAATATCTATGTACTATTGGTCCAGGATGATAATGTCAACAATTTTTTTACACTCATTTGTTATTAGTAATGATATGAGGCCACTAACAAACTAAGTTTTACTTAAACTGGTGAACCTCATTTTCTCTCTCTTAAAAAAAATTACATAATAATCTAAATAAGAATTTTGCTTACCCTTTGATCACCACCTTCTCTTCGAGGATCAAGTTTTTTTGCAAAGTGTCTCAAATTATCATAGTTATGGAAATTACACAGAGAAACAAGATCCTATAATTAAACAAAACAGGTATAAGAAACTGGCTAGTCATTGGCTATTGTTTTTTCACATTTTAATAAATTACACTAATACTGTCCAACTTAACTACTATCTCATGGAAAGGACCACTGCATGTTAATAAAGCAGCATGATGTGTCAAGAAGAGAACTGAAATTAGAATAAGAAGACGTGGGTTACAGATTTTGAAAACACTGCTTACTAGCCTGACCCTAGGGCTCCGCCACTCAAATTGTTTAACTGCCGTTTCCTGTAAAATGGGCATTATAATAATAGGCCACATGAAATAATTTTTCTATCAAATAACTATAAAGCTGCACAAAAATATAAAGAAATATTCTGGTTATAATCTATTTTAATCTATAAGGAATCCAATGTCACTCTCTAGTTTTTGTAAAATATGTAAAACTGAAAAATAAATTGGAATTTTAATTGAGAAAGGCTGCAGAAAAAATTATACTTAGTGCAGACTATAGGAAGTAGTACATGTAAATAAAACCAGAAGATAAAATATTAGCAAGACTTGGGTAACAACAAAAAATACTGAACTAGGGGCTTCCCTGGTGGCGCAGTGGTTAAGAATCCGCCTGTCAATGCAGGAGGCACGGGTTCAAGCCCTGGTCCCGGAAGATCCCACATGCTGCAGAACAACTAAGCCCGTGTGCCACAACTACTGAGCGTGCGCTCTAGGGCCCACGAGCCACAACTACTGAAGGCCGTGAGCTACAACTACTTAAGTCCATGTGCCTAGAGCCCATGCTCCACAATAAGAGAAGCCACTGCAATGAGACGCCTGCACACTACAACGAAGAGTAGCCCCTGCTCGTCGCAACCAGAGAAAAGCCTGCGTGCAGCAACGAAGACCCAAAAGCAGCCAAAAATAAAAAATGAATAAAAATTAAAAAAAAAAACTGAACTAGTTAAGAGTAGTAATAATTTTAAATTGCAGTACTTACGTCCTCAAAAAAAAAAAGACTTTTAAAGGTAGTTTATGGATAAAGATATTCAACCATGCCGATTAAAGATGACAGTGTAAACTATAATAATCTTTCATTTATGTTGGAATTTAAATGACTTCTCCAAGTTTAGCATCTTTTGCTGAGCTTTTGGAAACTGAAAACTAATTATAACCATGAAAATTAAAATATGAGCATCAAACAAATGTAATTTGTAATTAGTGACGATGATTATATGGGAGCTGTGTGGTGGAGGCAATTTAAAGCTCCTTTATGAACATGTCCATGGCTACTGAGTAACTGACAGACTGGCAGTGAGAGTGCCAACAATCAATAAACTCTGGAAAAGAGTAAAAAAGTAGAATCATCAGATGGCTCAACTTATATGATCATTATTTTCATTAAGGAAATATGCTTACGTGACAGAAGTGAATTCCCTTAACACTGTTGCCCATCTTGTCCAGGGGAGGAGACCAGCACATCATGCCCATGACATTGGGGACAACTAAAAGAATGCCCCCAGCAACTCCAGATTTTGCAGGAAGACCAACCTGAAAATAATTTGAAAAAAATGGACATTCATGTTAACATTTTAAAATAAGAAAAGTTATGTCCAACAATAAGGGAACTGGTTAAAATATTATGGTATATATATCCATATAGAATTCCAACATTAAAAATGTAGATATGTATTTATCAACATGTTTATAATATAGTAAATGAAAAGAGTTATAAAACAGTTGGGATATATTTAAATATAGGAAAATATTTGAAAGATATACTCTAAGGGATTAAAGTAGATTACATCTAAATTGTGGGGCTATGCACATTTTTATTTTATTCTTTTTGACTATATTTTCATATTGTTTTATAATAAACATGTATTGCTTTTAAGTATGAAGTGATTTTCAAAAAATATTTTATGACTAAAACAATGAGAAATTATCTCTTCTTAGAAGATTCTCTATTGTATACTGGCAGAGAAATTCTAAAGAATAGAGATAATATGGTACTAATTCAAATTAATCCTCTTCAAAACATTTAAGCTTACATTATATAAAATTTGACAATTATGATAAAAGACAAAATTAATGTCATCAGGGAAGTGTTCATTAATGGGTAACTAACCATTCAGACCTTTTACTAGAAGTAATCTTGCACAAAAGTAACAAAACAAGATAATCACCTGAATGGGACCTACCAATTTACAGGGAATACCACGGACAAAGGAAGGTATATAATAAGCAAACCAAACTCTAAGAAACTTTACAGGAAAAAATGACCTAGTTTTTTCAACCAAAATAACAAGAAAAAAGAGGTTAAGGGGGAGGCTAAAGATTTAAAAAATAACAACCACAATGTATGGCCCTTATTTGTAATCCAAGTGAAACAAATTGTAAAATAATAATTAAGATAATCCAGATAATCTGAATATTGACTAAATATTTTTTAAAATGTATTTTATTGAAGTACAGTTGATTTACAACGTTATTTTCTGCTGTACAGCAAAGTGATTCAATTATACATATATTCTTTTTCATATTCTTTTCCATTATTGACTAAATATTTTGATGATATTAAAGATTAAAATTCTTTTCAGATTTTTATACATAACAATGGTGCTGTGTATTTTTTAGAGTCCTTATCATTTAGAATTACATATTGAACTATGAAAAGGGTGGGGGAAGTAGGTGTAATATAGATGAAACAAGATTGGTCATGTATTGATAATTACTGAAGTTGAGCAACAGGAACTATGTATTTACTTTTATTGAAGTATAGTTAATTTACAATGTTGTGTTAATTTCAGGTATACAGCAAAGTGATTCAGTTATACATACATATATATATATATATATATATATATATTTTTTAGATTCTTTTCCCTTATATGTTATTACAAAATATTGAGCAGAGTTCCCTGTGGTATACAGTAGGTCCTGCTGGCTTTCTCTTTTATATATAGTAGTGTGTATATGTTAATCCCAAACTCTTAATTTATGCCTCACCCCCTTCCCCTTTGGTAACCATAAGTTTGTTTTCTATGTCTGTGGATCTATTTCTGTTCTGTATATAATTTCATTTGTATCATTTTTCTTTTAGATTCCACACATAAGTGATATCATATGATATTGGTCTTTCTCTAACTTTAAATGCATCTATTTTTCTATTTTTAAAATTTTCAAGATAAATTTTTAGGGCATTATGACTAGACTAGACATAGAATGAAACAAGAAAAGTCTATAACATTTCACAAGTGGCAAATGCACAACAGAGCTTAAAGGAGTGTATTTTTGTTAAGTTTTAACTTTAATATACTTTAAGTCCTTTAAAACACCTATGGCTGTAACCAAAGATGTTAAACATCACAGTTATGCACTCCTTCTGAACTTAAAGAATTCCTGAGGTATGTAATCACCATAATATTAAACATTAGCAAGTAAAAGTAAAGTCTGTACTAAGCCTGTACAGTGAAATGCCTTAAAAATAAAAGTGATAAGGTTCTATAAATTAAACTTCAAGTTCTTAAGAACATGTCGTACACTGCTTAACTCTATTTCTTACCAATTCTGTAACAAATTAACCTTGAAAACAAGCCTCTCTAAAATTAATGTACAGCTCTAGAAGCAAAGTTCAAACTGTATTTTTAAAGGAACTAGTCCAGACTAGTTTCCTGCCAGAGAAATTAAGATTAAACAATTACTTACATGGAAAGCAAACTGCCCCGAGAAATCATACATGCCACAGGAATGCATCAAACTGAGTGTATTTCGAACTGCTTCAGGACTCAGTACTCTTTCCCCAGTAATTGGGCAGAAGCCACCATTAGCCAGTGTTGCCGCCATCACACTAGCTGATTCACATGTTACTTCAATGGAGCATAGCTAAAAGGAAGGAAAAACTAAATTCTGAAAATTTAGGCTCACATTATTTTTAGTAGTACAGTTGACCTCTAAGATATTCTGTGTCATCTGGTATTTCATACAGATCTGAAATATTTCTTCCAAAGGGATAACCTGATGACACAGAAAGATTTAAATGTGAACAATGTTCTAGCCCCTTTAAGGTTTATCCTAATTTGTCCAGTTATTCAGTCTTTTAATGGCAGACCTAAGATAGGAAGAGCCAGCTCCTAAGCACTAAGATTTGTAATTGCCTCATGTGATATTCATATTTGCTTAAATAGTAATGCTTTCTGTAGGATACACAAACATAATTATTTTTAACTCAACAGGGAAAAAAGAGCCGAGATTTTTAAAATAAAGCAACATTCATCAGTATTATGATAGTTAGCATCTACATGAGAAACTGCTACTTCAAGAAAAAACTTTACTGACATTTTGCCTGTACCAAAACTCAGCATCCCCATATGGCAACATGCAAAGGACTAAAGGAAAAAATCTAAGACAGTTCTACCCTACATGCTCTGTGTGCCTAAAACCAAAATGTTACATTTTAAACCATTTATTAACATTCAAATAGTTATTTGATACTGACTATGGGTGCTAGATATACTATAATGAATGAAAAAAGCGAAGTCCAGGTACACTGTAGGGTGAAATTTTTGCATTTCAATATAATCAAAATAATGGAAATAGTTTACCACACCAAACCCAAATTTACCCATAATACTAAAACAATAAATAAATGCTCTATTTTACTTTTCACTAACAGTAACCAAAACTGAGAGGAAAGTAGAAGAGAAGGAGAAGGTAGGAAGTAGGAAGAAAAAGATATGACAGTTCTCAACTTATAATTTTCCTTTCTCATACCAAGATCTTTAAGAGGCACAAAGGGGTTTGGAAATAGCAGTAAGGAAACTAACTAACCTCAGTGAATTTGAAAACTGATTAGAAGCCACTTTTTGACTGACTTCCACTTTTGCCTATTTATGTTAAAACCCCTTCCCTATTTCTTCAAAAATACAGAATCTACTTATTATACGGACCCACATAGCAAAGACATAGTACAGGTGATTTAATTATGAAAGGCTTCCTAAAAGAAGACTTAAACTCCAATGACCAATTCCTACTTTATAATTAGTATTAATGGAAATTTTGTTTGTCATAAGGTGATACACTTTCAATTTGACAAATCGCAATTTAAGAGTACTCTCCTGGTAGCCTGACAGATGTTCAGTTAGATGCAGCCTTTCTCCAAAAGAGCAAGTAAGTTTTCTATGGCTGTCTCTTGATTTTTGCCCTGAAGTATAGAAATTTCACAGTAGATTAGTAGCACCTAAGCTATGACAGCCAAAGTTAAATACATGTACCAAAGGAAAAGAAACATTAACATATGGAAGAAATCCATATAAGCTAGGGAAAAAATAAGGGACACTGGATAAAAATAAGGGACACTGGATAAAATATGACACTGTATTTCATATAACATTTTATAATTTCAAAGGAATTTCACATACATCTCATGTACTTGTCCAATGTAATGCAGGAAGTTAGGTCAAGCATATGCTACAGATAATGAAACCAGGGTTCAGTAACTGAAACTAAGTCACATGGCTAAAACTAGCCAGGTTAGACTGATTTTCTATTGATAGTCTGGATTCCCAATTCATAGTTCCTCACAATGGGCAAGTGACAAACTGTGACCTGGACTTCCATCAAAATCTACCCGTTACCAGCTTTCCTTATATATTCTTTACGATTACTAAAAGGTTACCTTAAAAAGTAAAGGCAGGCAATGTAAAGTAAAACAGAAATTAACAGTAATTAATTTGTTACTATGTAGCTTCACATTACAAACTCATCAGAAGCACCAATGGCATTAAATCTGTAAGAATGAATTGAACTGAAAATATGGGGGGAAGAGAGGGATGTCCAGGAAGGCTATCTTGAGTTCTATACCACAGAAGATTATGTAAATGGACACCTCCCCCATGAATATGGAAAGCTACTCTAACTTATTGGAAAATCCATTATGTGACATTGTAGAAATGAACTAAACAAACTGAGAAAATGCCACTTTAGAATGTTGAATATGAACCTTCTGATAAAGAAACAAGTAACTCCTTAAAACAAAATTTTAAAACTAAGAAAACAGAGCTCGGTTTATAATAAAGAGAAGCCAATTGCTGGAGCTGTACATTATTTTTCATACTTCTTAAATATAATATTTTTATAGAAAAAAACATTTCCCTGTTACATTCTGAGACATCACTTTTTAGGAGATACAGACACGAGACTGCCTTTAACAAGGACATTTTTCCGAAAGTCAATGGGAAATGTTATTTTCTCTCTGCCTAAAGCCAAGATTTCAGAGACATCTATATTCTGCAAAATGTGACACACCCATTTATGTACATAATTCATACAGTTAAAATAAATTACCTGGAAATAGAAGTCTAATATACCAACCATGTCTGTACCTTCAGGAAAACACTGAAAAAATAGAAAGGCAATTAAAAATATAGGCACACGGGAAAAAAAAATGCACACAAGTAAAAGATACATGGAGATTAAATTTAAAATATACACACGTTTCATTCTAATTGAGAACAAAATAGCACACAACCTATAAAAGGGTGCAAACATGAAATAATGAAGAACAATAAATCAAAATTACACGACGTAATTATCTAGATTTCTAGATACCAGTTTAACTGGCAATGATAAACTGATTCATAATTCATGAACCAAGTTACTAGACCAGCCACTTAAAATTTAAGCCCACGTGCCTTAAAATTTAAAAATCAAGTGTAACCAGCAATAGTCAAGCGTTATGCTTTTGAAAAATGGGCCAATCCTTACACAAAATTTGCATTACTATAACTAGTCAAATATTTGAATATTACCAAATACAAATTGCTTGAATATTAACACTTTGATAGTATTAACTCAAGAGTATTTTGCAAAAACCTCTGCACCATAGTCATAGATAGTTGCTTAAAAGCTATTAAGTTTTATTATACTTCATGTATTTTAATAAAATTTTTTATTTAATAAATAAAAGAATAATAGAAACAGAATTTAAAAACCTTTTTTTCTTTTAAGTAATATCCTATTGCAAAATTTCGATCTCCACTTTCTCTTTCAGACTGAAACCTAAAAGGAAAAAAACATTTGCTCCATTTATTTACTTTCTGTAAAAGCATGATTGTTCTGTAGGTTAATTTGTATAGCAAAGTGCAGTATAAAGAACACTGACCTAAGAGTCAAGGCTGCTGGGTTCCAGTCCCAGTTCTGTCAACAGGTTAGCTATGTGGCCTTGGGCAAGTCATTTAAGTAACAATTCTTTCTGCCTTAATTTTCTCAGCTGTAAAAGGACTGAAATGAACTAGGTCCTTTCTAGTCTTCATATTTTGTGAATAAAGAAGCTAATTTTTAAATTATCAAACATTCAACTGTTAAAATTTACTATTAATTACAGACTCTTCTGACTCCCCACCAAAGTGCACTAAATAGTCAATTCCAACTGAGAGAATCTATGGAAATTTCACTGAGAGAGTGAGACATGAAATGGACCTTACAGCATTTGCTGGATTAATAAATTTCTGGGGGAAGCCGAGGAAGTGGCAAATATTATACAGCATGAACAAAGTTATAAAAGACAGGACTTCATTAAAGCATGGCAAATATTCTGATGTATCTCGGAAAACAGTTTCATGGAGAAGAGTGGAGAAATACCAAACCAACAAAGGAGACTAGGACCAAATTATCGAGACTGATAAATGCTAAAAAATGTAATGGCTACTGATTACCTTCAAAATTAAAGCTTGAAGGCTTTCAAACAAGTTACCTTATCAGATCTACATTTTAGAAGGATAACTCTGACATCAGTCTGGGAAAAGGGAAAAAGAAAGGATGAATGATATTAGAAGACTACTGTAATGAGAGCTATAGGAAGCCTTAACTTAGGTAGTGATGATAGGAATGGAAGGAGAGGTATGATCAAACATGAGAGCAGTGGACAAGTCTTCCGACCTAACAGGAAAGAGGAGAAACGGGGTAAAGTTTGGTACAAAGTCTAGATTTCTAACGTAGTCTACAGAAAGGATGGCAATATCAACTGACATTGGGATCCTTAGGGCAACAAGCAGTTTAGTAAGGAAGAGAATGAGTTTTGATTTAGACAGATTTTATCTGTGGTACATTTGAGAGCTCAACCTGTAAGAGTTCAGAAGGGGGACTTCCCTGGTGGCACAGTGGTTAAGAATCCACCTACCAATGCAGGGGACATGGGTTTGAGCCCTGGTCCAGGAAGATCCCACATGCCGCAGGGCAACTAAGCCCATGCGCCACAATTACTGAGGCTGTGCTCTAGGGCCCGTGAGCCACAACTACTGAAGCCCACGTGCCTAGAGCCCGTGCTCCACAAGAGAAGCCACCACAGTGAGAAGCCTACGCACTGGAACAAAGAGTAGCCCCTGCTCACCGCAACTAGAAAAAGCCTGCGCGCAGCAACAAAGACCCAACACAGCCAAAAATAAATAAATTTTAAAAAAAGAGTTCAGAAGGCTGCTGCTAAAAGAGGAACTGTGCGTGACACTCTTCTTATTACTGATCAGGGGTGGACAGCTCCTTCTAACTGCACATTTTAATATTTCTATGGTCGGGAAAAAAATGTTGGATATGGAAAAGTTCTTGGAAATGAACTTGTCAACTTGTCATACTTAAAAAAAAATCAATATAGTATAGATAAAGTACTAACAATTCAGCAATGATCACAGTGCCTACCACATAGTTCTGTTCATCAAACATTGTGTTCAGTACTTACTATCCAATAGATAACAGGAATACAGAAATGAATTGGAAGATACTCTATCCAGGTCTTAAGGAAGTCAGAGTCTAATGGTGATGATGAGGCAAAAAGAGACATAGAATCACAGAATAAGTTCAATAAAATATGGTAATAGAGCACAGAAGGAAGGTGAGATGAGATTCATAAAAAACTTCCTGGAAAAGATCCTTAAGCTGATGAATAAAAGCTGGTAAGGCAGACGAAATACAAAGCATCACCTAGTTTAGGAATGGAAGGAGAGGTATGATCATGCCTCATCACATTTCCTTGTGATTAGATAAAGCTTAAGCATCCCAAAACTGCTTAAGCTTTATCTAATCACAAGGAAACAATCAGACCTATTCAAAATAAGGAATGTCTACTACAGCCCATGGGCCTAATGTGGCCCATGCTTTTATAAATAAAGTTTTTTGGAACACAGCCTCATAGTGTTTATTGCTTGCTTTCCTACTGCAACAGTGGAATTGAATAGTTGCAACAGAGACCATATGGCCTCCAAGTACAAAATATTTACTATCTGGTCCTTCACAGAAAAAGTTAATTCCTGTTCTATAAGACAAATGGTTGGTACTCTTCGAAAAAACCCAGTTAGTAAAATTTTAAAAAGGGTCTAGGGTAGGGGGACTGTTCTATTTTAAAAAGACAGAAGTTATGCATGACACTGATTTGTTCCTGAAAAAAATAAAGGCCATAAAAGGCATTTACAGGACAGTTGAGGACATTTACATATTGATTAATATCGTATTTTAAAATTAATGTTAATGTTCTTAATAAATGTGTTGCTGGCATTGTGATTATAAAGGAGAATGTGCTTATTCTTAGCATACACATGCTGAGTAATTTAAGGGTGAAGTAGCATGAGGTCTACAACTTAATTTCAAACAGTTCTGGAAAAAAAAAACCCCACATACATTTATATTTACACATACGTACATGTATATGTATGTAGAGATACACACTTATTTTAAACTGTCCATCTAAAGAGAGAGACAGGTTGAGAAAAAGCAAATGAGACACAATATTAATCAGAAAATATAAGTGAAAGATATCAGATTTTCATATTTTGTCTTTCAACTTTTCTGTAGATTTGCAAATTTCAAAATAGAAAGTCGGGGTAAAAATCAAGTTGGCCAGGCACAGAGAGATTATGAGAGGTAAGACAGTATTTATAGACAAAGAGAAAACTGAGAAAGTGCCAGTCACTTAAGGTAAACTTAGGGTCTCTTCTAATTCTATGATTTACCACAAGAAGTTTATCAAAACTAGTTAAAGCATTTTAAGTGTCCTCCCTCAGGTAATTTAGAAACCATACATTTCTCTCTAATGACCAAATTCTAATTATTTATTCACTGAAGTATACATACATGGAGTCACAAAACAGTATTTAAAATAAAATTCTATAATGTAGATTTTTAAAATTAATTTCAAGAGATCTGACCTATCATAAAAACCTAAATCATAAATCAGACTCACGTTGCATTACTGAATCCAACATACTCATTACCGGCCATCTTATTCAAAAATTGCATTACCTATAAACCAAAATTAGAAAGTATTTTTAGTAATCAAAGAACAAATATAAAGAATGTAGCATGAAAACTGAATTCTATATTGTACTTACATAGTCAAATTTTTCAGCATTATTCACTCCTTGCTGCAAAGAAATGAGACATAAATATGTTAATATAGGGCCCCACCCCAGTTAAGCTTTAAGTGAATATAATATCAAAATTCCAAACTGCTATCATTATAATTAATATACTGCACATTAGTACTTTTAAATCTAGGAAATACTTTTAAGGTAATTCAATATTTACATAAGCTTTTTTATATGTTCTTACATTAACACCCATATGTTGAGAATGGATCTGAATTACAAAGGGAATGCTTTATTTTAAGTATAACTTTTCCCAACCCAAAGTTACAGAAAAGTTTAAATATAAGCTCCTCAAACCCCCTTATCCTTCATAACACCACATAATCTGCTACAATGTATGTTATTTATTTAATTTCACATTTTAAAAAAACTTAAAGTTTTACCCTTAGCAAAGAATTAGGTATATATAAATTATGGTTTTCAATTAAGAACAATCTACTTATATTTCTAAAATAAACTTAAACCAGTATTAGAGTTAGAAAATGAGTTATGTTGCAAAGCTATCTTTTACAATTCTAGTATATGTAAACATTCTGGATACATTTTACTAATGTAGAGAAAGCTCTACCTTTAATATCTCACTTGTTACAACAATACTTGAACTAAAAAAATTATATTTCATAGTCTAAAAAAATTAGCTACATTTGTATTTAGCATTATGCCAATTCAGAGTATGGAAGATGTATTGTTTCATCACTTCTATTTCTGACATGTTAGCTACTGCAAATGTCAATAGGAAAAACCTATGTAATGTAGATCAGTTCAAGTAGCCAAATGGTTTCATTTTACCTCGGCGAAGTTTACAAAGCAGTAAGTTGTAGATCTGAAATCAAACGTATTAATTGGTGATATGCACCCAAAAGAAACAATACATCTCTAATTTTTAAAACAAGTTTAAAATGAAGTAATTTGACAACTAAAATTGTAAAAACGAAAAATTTTAACTTTACCCTCAAAAACCCAAAACAATACACTTTAAAATTTTATTTGGTGGGGGGGGGACTTGTACCAGAGTATTATTTAATTGAATAAAGCCAGGTTCATTATCCACTTTACAAGTGGATTAGGATGTGGCTGATAATCTGTGAAACCCTACAAATCAACTTATTTGAGAAAGAATGTGCAATGACATACACAATCAGTAGCTGGAAAGACCACCACACTATTTCATCAAAATCAGGCATTCACAAAGTTTAAACAAGTTAAGAATAATTTAGCTACAACCATATAGTAATCACTATCTATGTATTTTCTCTAAAGTGTCCTTTGACATATTTTTAAGTTTTCTTTCTTTATAATACACCAGAAATCAAAATGTAGAAATGTAACTCCAAAGCTGTTCAATGAAAAATAATTAAAAGAAGAAATTACCAACTTCATTGAACTGTTGCAGTTGTCAAAATATTCCATAGATCCTAATGCTGTAAAATATGTAACAACATTTAAACCACAAAAACCTTTTTAACCTTTGAAAAAGCACAAAAAAACAACTCTTTTGGAAAAGGATGTCAGCATTTGCATTGGGATGTCACATGGATAATTACTGGTTATACAATTAATCAATGTAAAATAAACAAGTTATATTTGAACTTTCATTCTCTGACCTAAACTGTACCCTATAAAACTAATACAAGTTTTCTTTGTTTAGCTGTCATGTTTAATTTTTAAAAAACCAAATACTGTCTCAACTCTTGACTATGGTCACATTCTTGGTCTACTTTGCAGCATACTAAATTAAATACCATTAGATTTTACTTCTATGCTATTTTAAAGAAACAACTGGTATTTATCAATGTCTATCATTATATAACATTTTGGGTAAGCTACCTGAAATGTCCTGGCAGATTATGTAAATAGACAAAATAAAATATTTGAATGACTGTGTTGACTCAAGAAAGTCTCTACTCAAAACTTCCCAATTTAAATGTAAAAGTACTTGATTAATGTTTCTTCTTATTATCTACCTAGAAAGAGCATTTAATTGAAGTCAATAAAATATATTCCCCCCTGTAATCTCTTAGAAAGATTTCACGTACCCCAGGGATATGTGGGACTTAGTAATCATTATCAGATGTCACATTATTTTAATTTTGAAAAATTTACATTATAAAGTTTATGTGCAAAGATGTTAGAAAAAAACACACATACACATACCAAATAACCTAGAGTAAATGCCCCCAGCCCCTGCACCGCCCTGCCAAAGCAAAAACACAAACTGTTAAAAAAAAAAAATCATCATTTCTCCAGTAGAGAGGTACAGAGGGGTGAAGGAACAGATGTTATGAAAACTGAAGCCAGGAATGGGTAGATGAGGGATGGTTATACTTTTCTGTTTATTTTGTGCATGTTTGAAATTTTTCATACAAAATTAAAGGAAAAATGTTTATTTGCTAATAATTTTGCACAGTAATTACAAAACTGTTCCTTTAGAATATTTTCTTTTTTTGAAATAGTAAATGATTTTTAATTAGTTCATGTATCAGTGGATATTTTCTATTGCTAGAAGTATAAATTCTCTTACTATTCTAAATTTTTACAGATGTACAAGTTGAGAAATCCTGCTGATAATAGATGAGTAGATGGAAATAGGAAAGACTTTGTTATGGCAATGTACACAAAATCCTTTACACATTTATCTCATTACATACAAAGGTCACACAGTAAAATATACCCTCAAAAACTACACTTAATGTTCTCATTAACTAACAACTTGATCAGATCCTCTTTCCATTTTGTTGAAACCAAAAATCTGGAAACAACCTGGTATATAAGATTTGTTCCCAGTCACTACAGTGATTACAGTGATTCACATCCTCAATACCATGACCACAATATTTCAAAATGTTCTCTTTTGATGGTGCCCAAGACGTTTTTACAACCTGAAGCAGTGCTTTTTACAACCTGAAGCAGTGCACCACAGTAAAATTTAGGACACGAGAAGTATATACCTTTTGGAAAATGGGAGGAAACCTAGACCAAAGGCAGGTTAATTTTAAGAAAGGCACCTATGGAAACAGATTTAGAAACTGATAGTCTTAAAACTATCAATGCCTCTTTATCTCTGGGAAAAATATTCCCAAGCCCAGGGATATGTTTATTTCAGTTTTAAGTCACTGCACAAGTATTATTAGATATCACATTATTTTAATCTTAAAATTACAGTAATTTATATTAAGTATGGTAGGAAAACTTAAAGATAAACTGGACAAAATACAGCTACCAAAATTTCTAACCCATTTACCACATGACTTTTAAAAAGCAAACCACGTGGTTTGTTTGAAAAGGTTAGTAATCAGACCTTGAGATTAGAAAATTATACAAATTTATTTTTCTATAAACATATCTACCAAGTTAAAGAATTTACATTCCTTTGAGGAAAACTTTTATGAATGAAAATTTGACAAAGAAGCACTGAGTTTTAACACTGGCTATTAAAAGAATTAGTAAGTATACTGGAGTAGTTTTATAACCTGTTTATACAATATACTCATGAACTGAATTATGTATTATACATCACAACACAGGTGAAAATATCACTATTAACAGGGACATGTGCCAATAAATGTAGTATTAATATGACTCATTTAAAGTCAATGCATTAATCACAATTATTTTGTAAGTAAATCACTTGATTCCACTCATAAAGTATGGAGGTGTAGAAGCAAATTGAAAATTAGAAATCATAGAGGAAAAAGGCATAGAAGAAAGAGGCAAAAAGAGGTAACTAAAAATGATTTTACAAAACATTTGGTTTAATCTCTCCAAAGAAAATGCTTTAAAGCTAAATAATACGTGAGAATTAATATAAATATTACAGGTGAAAAATAATGTTCTAAATCTAGTATTTTCATAGATTAGCCCTAAAAATAAAGTAACAAAAAAGGGAATTCTGTTGACAAATTACCCGCCTTTTATTTGAGGAAAAAAACCCTCAAGTACATCAACTGATATAATCATGAAGAACTGATATAATCATAATAAGCCAATATAATCCTTTCTTATGAATGTTACCAAGTTCAAGGCATCATCCATTGCTCCCCAGAGCCACAAACTGCCTTAAAAATGTGGCTTATAAGCATGTGTAACAGGTGATTGCTAACATGACCAAACTGAACATTACACACATATTAACTAAATTTGTCTTGATTTTTTAATGGAGCATGATTAAATTATTATTTTAAAAAAAGAGAGGAAAAAAACCTCCAATATTTTAAATTCAAAAATACTTCTGATTAAAAAAAAAATCAAGTTCTTCAAATGACAAAAACCAGAAACTACCATGAGAATAGAGACACAAACATAGAAGACAATGTGACTTTATCTTTAAAATTAAAAAGCAGAAGTGTGACAATTATAATAGGTTGTCCTCATTTTTCCACTCTAGCCCTCAAGTTATCAGAAGATCTTAACTTTTAAACTGAAACTAGGTGAGATTAAAAAATTATGTAAGGATGCTGCTATTTCATCCAGAGTAACTGTGCTTTCAAATTTATTTTTACTCTTTCCTTTAAATCAAGCAACCAGCTTACCATCATCAAATAAAATCAACTGCATCAAAAAGTATTCCTTTAAGTTTAGCAGCTACCACAGAGAAAGAGACAGGAAGTATAGTACCTTCATGGTTTTTTAAATTATGTGCCTTTTAAGTACAAAAATGACATTTGTTTTTATGAAGGCATTTACCTATATAGTGTTTAAAATTTTAAATATTGGAGTTTTCCTACAAGTTTAGTAGTTAAGAATTTATGCAACAGGTTCCTTCTGTCCAAATTCTCCTTTTTTACACAATCTGCTAATCCTTTTGAACATTTGCTCTGCCTCTTCCCCCATTTTCCTGAGGACCACCATCAATCCTACAAAGGAAAAATATCAATACTACAAAATTATGAAATAAAGTCTTACTAAAGATTCTAGTAACTTGTGTGTGGGGGGAGGGGGAATAACATGAGGGGAATGTTTTAATAGCACCATAATAAAGTTCTGAATTTTGAAAGAAAAATATAGCCTTAAGGTCATCAGCTAAAAGCTAAAAAACAGAATTCACATCTAATAGCCATGGTAAAATGGCCACAAGCACTGACTAATGTCCAAAGAATGACTGTATACACTCACTGAAAATTAGATTTACTTTTAATCCAATAACTGGTATCTTCTGTAAAAGTTAAATTAGGAAAATAAAATTTCTGCCTTTTGGACAATATAACTATGCTAGGTAAAGACAAAATGTCATCAAGAGAAATAGCAAACATCTACATTAAAAATGGCAGAGTGAATTTGAATGAATAGCAAACAGAAAATTGGGAGACTTAGCTCAAGCCCAATTCTACTGCTGTTAGAACCTATCCAGTCTGTTTCCTCATCTTATCTATTTAAGGAGTAAGAAGGCTGAGCTTGAAAACTCCTTCAGCCATGGTTTTATTAATTCAATTTCAACTACCAATTCATCAGTATTATGTGATCATATAATCTGCAGAGATCACAGATAGTTATTTATAAAAGTTTTGAATTCTTTTTTAAAAAGTCCAAGAAAAGTATTACATTCTGGGACAGTCAGTTTTACACAGAGGTATGTCAAGCTTATCCCTTCAAGATTTAGATGAACTTCATTAAAAAAAAAAACAAAAACCCAAACCAAAAAAAACCCCCAAAACTTGTGAAACAACTTCTAAAAATAAAACAAAAAAGGTCAAAGAAACTGACCTTAAATATGAACCATATCCCAAAGCCTCATTTCCAACTGTCAGTAAATTTACAATTTTTCTAAATTTAAAAACACTGATCAAATTTGTAAATACAAGACGACTTAGTTAAATGTTTGCACAGTTGGATGTAACCACACTTATGCTGTGTATGTGTGTTTTTTTAACTGTTTCTAAGTACTCATATTAATGTTGCTCATTGTATAGTTTATGGCTTGTGACTAAACATCATATCATGATGTAATATGACCAGACATGCATTTCCCACATGCAGCATTTCAGTGTAGTATATTAAGCCCATGAATCATTAAACAAAAGATGTTTAACTGCATGCAGTTAAGCAAGACTTCTATTAATCATTTACATATGTCCCTTTCTTGAAAATACTATTGGTGTGCTATGTTAATCTTTTTCCAGTGTAAGAGTTCTTAAACTGAGATCCATGGGTCTGTGAATTCCCTACAGTTTATATAAAATCATGGTATGTGAACGTTTTTTCTGGGAAGACCCAAAAAAGGTTCAGAACCATTCTAGTGGTTTTCTCATCAAGCACTAATACACACATTTTATTATCATAACTTTCCTTACCTCTAACTTACTTGTTCAAATCTGAACAATTATTAATGAGACTTTTCTCTCATCACAGTATTTACTGAATTTCATTGTAAGGGCCCATTTACTGGTGTATACCCCATGTTATACTGTAAGTTGTGGCATGACTGTGCCTAGTACATATTCATATTATTTTCTATAATAAACACGTAGTTTCTTTCACCTCAAACTGACAACTTTTCTCTTATGTAAAACAGTGACAACTAGATTATAGTGGGCATAGCCTAAAATTAGTTACATTAAAAAATAATACTTGTCTATAATATCTCCATCACTAGAGTTACAAGGATTAAGTGGGCCAGTGCTTATGAAGCATTTGCTCTAAAATAACAACATATATATTCTTAAGATAGTACTCTTCTATTTTAAAGGCTTTTCTCATGAATGAAGAAAAAAATTCATTAAAGTTAAGAGAGGATTTCTAGCATACAAATTAGATGAATTTTTATTAACTGGGCCAAGGGTATAATTTATATTCAAACATTCCTTGTGTACCCAGGGTATCCCATCTTCAGAAATGCATCTACAAAGGCACATAGCTATGTTTTTTTCAAGCATGGAAGAGATGTGCACAGATTTACTGAAGAAAGTATATAAACGTTCCAAACACAAATGAAATATAATTGAATACCAATGAAACTTATAATTAGAAATTAAAAATCTAAGCAGTATCACAGAATAGAACCACTTTCAAATACTTATTTCAATACATTAGTGTTTCCAATTATTAAGGCAAACTAGACACTTAACAAAAGAAACAAAACATACCATGTAAACCAAAGAGTAGGAAAATAATGTAACTTAATAACTGGAATAAGTCTTATTTAGTTATTACATGATTCAAGTAAAACAAATGAAACAAGTTCAAATGAAAATTGTGATTACAGCTCATGAAAGTATAAAGGACTTGAGAACAGTCAAGGGTAAATGTACTTTGTTTTAACACAAAGTACCAGAACATTTGTCCCTACATATGCTGATGACAAACATCAAACAGTAACACGCTGTTACTTCTGTTTACATCTGTTCATTCTAGAAGAGCCAAAAAGAAGAGAAAGAAAAAAATATTAAAACTTTAAGAAGAAAAACTTCTGTGACTACTGTTCAGAAGAGACTTCCTTTTGAATTTTTGCCAGGTCTTCAGGTCAAGAGTAACTGTTGGAATTTATGTCATCTATTTTAATTTTGTCCTTGAAATTACATCATTTATTTTGAAATAAATAAAAATCCTAACCTTATGCCATACCATTAATTTAACACCAAAAGAAAAATTTTCACATTTCTACATAAATAAGATTCCTCTTTATGCCTTAGTAGTTAAAATTTTTACTGGATTAAAAGGAAATGTCAACATTTTACCTTTATTAATGAAGTCACAACAATTGCTCCAGCATTTACCATAGGATTGTGTGGTTTATCTGAAAATATAAAAGCAATAGCATTACTTTAAATACCTGATAAAATTTTCTGTGATGCACAGGTACTTCCCATGAACATTCATCTATTTTCTTTATGTAAGCCATTGATTGTTACAGTTCTTTTTGGGGGTCAGGGGTGGAAAGTGGAGGAGTGCATTAAAGTCAGTTACACATCAAACCAGTAATACACTTTTAAGAAGCTGCTATAATTATACAGGCAAACAAAGATTCAGGTACAGAAAGACAGTGAACAGTGCTGTAAGAGCACATCCAAATTTCCTAACTCTGCCATTTGATCCTGGGCAAGTAACTGAACTTCACTGTGCCTCAATTTTCCCATCTGTAAACTGGGAGTAATAACAGCACCAATACCTCAGCAAGTCATAATACTTCAATGAATTAAAAAAAATGCTTTGGCACAGCACTAAGCAATCAAATGATATTATTATTAAAAATCACCTTGGAAAAAGCATATCTAGTGTGGACCCAATTTTCCTTTTTTAAAGTACTTTATTTTTGTGTTTATGTATATACATATACATATGCAGAAAATGAAAACAGGTGATACACATAGGATAAAAAGATTACAGGGTATTTAAGTTGTATTCAGCATGCCTTCTATATTTCCTGACAATAAGGATGTATTTCTTGTATAATTACAAAATTACTTAAAATTTAAGTTCATCCAAAATCCTACCTCTTCTCCTAATTCTTACAACAAACAGAATTTCAAATCTCAGCTGATTATACTGTCACTCATAGCACAGCACAAACGCCAAACACAAAACTCTTAGGGCACTGAAAACATTTATTTGAAAGCATAATCCCTAATCTGTTTGTGGTAGTAATTTACTTCTCTGGGAACAAGTTCTTATCTAACTTGACACATCTAGCAGAATCCATAAGTTATTGCTACATTATTAGTCTCCTTGAATTTTAAGCAAGTTACCTTCCGTGAGATGAGTCTACAGCTAAACAAGGAAATTCTTCAACTGTTAAAGAGTTACTATATGACCCAGCAATTCCACTCTCAGGTATATAACGAAGAGAAATAAAAACATGTGTACACAAAAACTTGTACACAAATGTTCTCAGCAGTATTACTGATAATAGTCAAAAAGTGAAAAATAACCCACAACCCAAACATCCTGCCAAATGATGAATGGGTAAACAAAATGTGGTATTATTATCCAAACAATGGAATATTATCCAGCAATAAAAAAATGAAGTATTGACATAAGCCACAACATGAAAGCACCTTGAAAACATTATGCTTAGTAAAACAGGCCAGTCAAAAAGACCAAATATAATGATTCCATTTACATAAGGACTAAATATAATGATTGTTTATATGAAATGTCCAGAACAGGCAAATCCATAGAGAAGGAAAGTAGATTTACTAGTTTCCATGGGTAGAAGAGAAATAGGTATTGACTACTAATATCTCTAATACCTAGGGTATCTTTTGGGGGTGATAAAAGTGTCCCCAAATTGACTGTGGTCATGGTTGTACAACTCTATGAATATACTAAAAGCCATTAAATTGTACATTTTGAATGAGTAAATAATGTAGTAGGTAAAGTATATTTCAATAAAACTGTTAAAAATGTTTAATTAAAAAAATCAATAATGACAAAAAACTGGGTAACTTAACAGTACACCATTTTCCTCAATATAAGATCAACAATATGATTTAGTAGCTAGCTAGGCTTTAAATAGTGTACATTTTCGGTTACCCATGATAATGACAAGTTCTAAAAGTTAAAATAAAACAGTACAGGTATACTATCTAAATAGTACAGTCAGGATTTCACCTATTTCAAATTATGCTAAGGGAAGTCTGCTTTCTTTGAGATCACACAAAATGACAGTAATAGTTGTCACAGAAAAATACTACGCAACAAAAGGGAAGCTAAGAAACAAAAAATTTCCAGTATTATCGATGTAAAAGAAAAACCAAATGCAGACACAAAAATCAAAATATGGAAATCAGGGCTTCCTTGGTGGCGCAGTGGTTGAGAGTCCGCCTGCTGATGCAGGGGACATGGGTTCGTGTCCCGGTCCAGGAAGATCCCACATGCTGCAGAGTGGCTGGGCCCCGCAACTGGAGAGGCCACAACAGTGAGAGGCCCGCGCACCGCAAAAAAAAAAAAAATGGAAATCAGGCTGTGCTAAATTAGTTTATACTCGTATTTGTGTATATTCATGTATCTGTCCTTTCATTTTTTTTTTTTTTGGACGTTATCAGGTTTAGACTCTAGGGCCCTAGGAGGTAGCTAATGTGTGTATTCCAAATGGTACCACATAAATGTGGGCATTTACTATTTTGTAAATCATAAATATTCAGCAAATACTACATATGCTACATTTAAGATCTTCCAAGAACACTAAAGCATTTCATGGCATGACAGAGCAATTTTCAGATGTAAGCACTGCTCGCTCTGACTTTGGCTTAAAAGCCAGACATCTGAACACTTGGAAATACACCAGAGATTAAAACACCAGCTTTACTGCATTATAAAATCTCAGTCTAAAAGTGGAAATCTCCTTTTCCACTCTGCTCTGCCATAGTCAGAAGGAAAGAACTGAAGGGTTCAGTTTAGAATTTTTAATTTAAAAAGAATTATGACAACAGAAATAACACAAGCTAATTAATAAAGGCTACTATCTGAAGTAATGACATATATTAGCTTAGTATAATGACAAAATGGACATCTGAAATTTTGGGGCATGTTTTTAACTAGAATGCAAAAAATTGATTAATTTTAACAAATATTTATTCTAAGGGAATAAAACAAGCAAAAAATTCTTCCATATTATACCAGAAAAAGCTTTTCAAACTAAGTATATGAACCTTACAAAGATGTGGTTCATGACTGAGGCTGATGGTAAAAGAGTAACTACTATAATTTCTTTATCTATTCATTATATTCAGATTAATGTTAATTTATCATCATAATCTTACAAAGCTAGGATAATATTAATACATTTGTTTCTTTTAATTTTATAACGCTAGATAGACACACATGCACATACATACACACAGTGTAGTTTCACCATAAATTACCCTTGAAATTTTCAATATAAAAAAGACCCACAAACTCTTTTCTTGCTGGGGCTAATCTAAAACCAAGACTCTAGAGCACAGAACCTATGCAGAACTCAAGAAGGAGTGGTATGGTACAGTGATGCCTTAATTTTCCCATTATTTCCCAGATTCCTGGTATTGGCTCAGGCTTGGAAAAAGTCAAAGAATATCAAGGCAAAACCTCTTGTTAAACTTTATGTTCAGTTATTACAAAACAGTTCTAAATTCCTGAGTTCTTATTGTGATTTTTTTTTCTTATAGACTTAGTGTCAATAAAATGTATATGGCAAAAAAATGTATTACTTACAATGTTAAAGTCATTTTACCCCAAGCCTATTTTATTTCTTACCACTCAATTCACCAGAACCACCTAGTTTATTCAAGTTTGTATTTTTGGGAAAATAGTAATTTTTCTTGTAAAATGTTTAATCTTGTGAGAACAAAAATACTCTTTCCATATTAAATCTAGATGTCAGTGAATTTAATAAATAAGGTACTTCTGCATATGTCCTTATTGAAGTTGCTAGTTTACAGTAATCTCCATAAAATCAAATGTAGCATCAGGATAGAAAGATTATGGTAAAATAAGTAAGAAAATGCAACTGCCCTCAAAACAAATAGAAAGAGAAGCATAAGAAAGTATCAGTCTTGTAACTTCATTTTAAAAACTCATAAAATACTGAGTATAAGGCATATTTTTTATTTTTCATCCAGCAGAAAGAAAAAATACAAAAGTATATTTCTCACAACCATTACTGTAATTCCTTCACTCGTTTTCTTCAATTCTATTTTAACTTGTCACACAATGAGGAACCTAGCATATGCCTGAAAGATTAAAAAACAGAAACCAATCTATAGGTTGGTGTTTAGATTTAAAACCTCTATCAGATCAAAAGTACTAACTGCCTTTGTCCTCCCCTTTTCTTTTGGATTCCTGTAAAGCAATAAGACTTGTTAGTTATCCAACTATTTAACACAAGATATTTCTTTCAAATACTAAATGTTATGAAGGAGAAAAAAAAAACATCACCTCAACCAGGGCCACCATTAAAGCTTTTTATTATGGAAGTTTTCAAATATATACAATATACAAAAGTAGAAAGAAAAGAATATAAGCATGCATGTACCCATCATTTAGCTTCAATGATTACCAACATACAGTAATAATCACATGCATCACTCCCAGCTACACTCCACTGAATTATCTTAAAGCAAATTCTGGACCCTGTGAGACTTTATAAGATATTCCCCTATAGGTGGTTATAAAGTGAAAATCTTACTTCCTGCCTCTGTCTTTTCTCTAGCCCACTTTCCAGTGGTATGAGATGCCTAAAAAATCTGTTTTTTAAAGTAGGTTAACTATCTCTATGGGTTTCACAGAAATTCCATGACAAATGAAAAAGTATCAATGCTTTTAATTTTCTTTTTCTTCGAAAAAAAAACTAGTTAGATTTACACAGGAAAATGAGGTATTTCTTCTTCCAAGTAACTTTTATATAATTCTTACCATCTTCGTTTAAGAACAGTTTGTTGAACCTTAATCCACTTGGCTCTTTCCCAACATATCGATGCACATATTCTGTTCCAAGATCATTAACAGCAATGGCATATTTCAAAGGTTTTACACAGGATTGAAGGCAAAATGGAACTTTGGTATCCCCAATAGAATGCCTATTTAAAAGTAGATTTAAAAAATAATTAAGATCAACTGTGAAAAAATGTAACAATAACCGGAGCTGTTATTTACATGTTAATTCTAATTTATAACAGTTTTCCCATAATTCAACAGCAAGTTTACTTGGATATTGAAGAATAAATACAAGTATGCTTATTTTAACAGGGATACTGCAATAAAAAGGCAAAAGCTTTCAAGTACTCAGGTAATAGACTGGTTCAAAATTAGATAATAAGTAATGTAAAAAATTGCCTCTGGGGCTTCCCTGGTGGCGCAGTGGTTGAGAGTCTGCCTGCCGATTCAGGGTACACGGGTTTGTGCCCCTGTCCGGGAAGATCCCACATGCCGCAGAGCGGCTGGGCCCGTGAGCCATGGCTGCTGAATCTGCGCGTCCGGAGCCTGTGCTCCGCAACGGGAGAGGCCACAAGAGTGAGAGGCCCGCGTACCGCAAAAAAAAAAAAAAAAAAAAAAGAAAAAGGAAAAATTGCCTCTGAGGGCAACAGGGTATGGCCCTCCTTACTCCTATCTGTATTCAATCATATAAAATGAACTAGCCCTTTTAGAAATTAGTCACAATTTTTTTTACTCATAGCTTTAATAATGGCTAAACTGTGGTTAGTTTTTCAATGAAGCTCAGTTTATTCAATACCACTCTCTGAGACCCTGTCTATAAATGCCTCATCTTGTGAACCATATCTATTGACAATTTCAGCCCCATTAAAAGAAACAGCATCCAGTTTTATAAACCTGATAGAGCTGGCACTAACGGCAATCATAATCACCATGTAGATAAACAACAGAACAAACTAAGATGAAAATGAAATAGAGAATAGGTTTGAAAATGAAAAAACTGTGACTGGCCCCATTATAATGTAAGCTTAACAAGGGCAGTGATCTTTGTTTTATTTGCTGAAGTATCCCAGGTGCCCCAAACAATGTTCCAACACATTACAGGCACTCATTTATTCGAGTGAAATTTATTCACAGTGAAACTGGGCACTATAATAACTACCCCTGGGCAAACAGGGGGTTTAATGGAGACATCAGAGGGACACCTTACTTCTAAGTATATGATGGAATATAAATAAATATGTGTATATATATATATAAAATATATATAATATTTTTCCTGTCAAATTTATGAATAACTTCTAATTCAGACCATAACTTCAATTTGGCAATCATTCTGAAACCTGACAAAAGCCTGTCTTACTACCTTTGGATTTAAAAATACCTATGTTCTAGCCCAAAGTCAAGTTCTTATCTCTAGATAAGAAAACTGAACTAAAAGAATCATCTCTACACACAAAGTATGTTTAAGAAGAAAAAACACATGTGCAATAATTAGGTGATAATAATTTCTTCCAAATATAAAAATTTCCACTACATGATAAACCATTTCCTCCAAATACAAAAAAATAGGAATACCACTCCCTACTGGAATTTGCTCCATAAGGATAAGCCATGTCTTCTCATGCATTTGTGTCTGTTCATAGCACCCGATATTTAATTCAACACACAAGTGTTTAGTACATTTCACAGGCCCAGATAAGGATAAAAGCCTGTCATAATGGAAAGAACAATGGACTGGAATTTAACAGACCCAGGTGCTAGTTTCACCTCTGCCAGTTTTATACAAACTCTGAACCCTCAGATTCCTTATTATAAGAATGAATGAGCCAAACCACATGTTTTTTTTAACTGTAAATATTTGAGGAAGATAAGTAGTAAAAAATAAAAGGATCACTTACAATGAAGGCACTTAAGAGATACAAATTTTAATAAATGGGTGGAAAAGCTTTAACTGGGACATTATCTTGAAAAATAAAATCTAAAATTATATGGCTAAATGACTTGTAGTTTTAACAAAATTTAGGATAAAATTACATCTCTGATATAAATTCATCAAGCTATATACACCTCGGAGTTGTATATCTCATTTTATTTAAGTTATATTTTAATGAAAAAAAATAATTACCTTAGTAAAAGCAAAGAAAAAACCAGAAAGATTATACCTCTGAGCTAAAGTCTTCCAATGAGTAAAAAAATATTGATTTTTCTTTTTTTGGCATAATTTTTCTGACTGATAAAACCAAATTACAACACGATAAGAAATCTTATGTCTGACTCATAGCATAATAAAAAAGGTCATGCTTAAAAAAATATTTCAGAACTCTATTTTTCCAAGGGCCTCTCTTAATTTACTTTATTTTTAATTGACTTTTTAAATCAAATCATTCTCTTTGAAGTGCCCTCATATTGTTATCCTTTTTATAATTCTACTGGATCATCAAATGTCAGTGGTTATGCCCGGAGTGTGAGTACATCCCAAAGATCACCTTCGTAGACTTCATGAAATCCTGTGTCTTTTGAAAATGACTGATGGGTAAGAGACTTTATTACATTATATTGCCTTAACTACCATGCTAATCATATAAGCAGCAAGAGGAACAAAGATAATGACAGGATAGGTAACCCACGTTAAGCCAAGAAAGGTGAACTAATCTTATTAGCGGTCAGTTCATTAGTGAATAATTTCATGTTCTGCCAAATCCACTTTTCCTAAGTAAATGTGGAACTGCAGTTCCTTGAACAATAAGCATTCAAGTAACAAGACTACAACTGTGAATAAGATAGATGAAATGCCTCATAAAATTTAGTATAAGGTATTGTTTCAGTTGAGTTTTCTAACTTAAACTAAAATCTAAACTTCTTTACCTTCTTGAATTTATGTCAGGTCAGGGGGCTAATTACTATTACAGAAGAGGCTCCTCTCTACCTCATGTTCACTGTTATGCAAAATTTAAGGCTTAGAGTTGGTTTTGATGGATCTGAAATAAACTTACCTCTGTCCATCTACTGTACAAACGGACACACCCCACAAATCAGGACTGAACTTGGCTAACTGAGGAATATAATCTGCAACCTATGCAAAACAATGGAAAGAAATTAACAGATATAATATAGGCAAATAGTATTTTCTTCTACCAAAAAACTGATCTCAATTTAGCTTCTACCAATGAACAGTTATTTTATAGTACTCAGTGGCTTTGTAGTCTATCTTTTATAACAATATTCATAAAAACTAAGGGCACAACAGACTTGAGGATTACAAGTGAAATCTAAGTGACTTCTCTCAGTCTCCATCACCTACTATGTTTTCCAATGCATTCTGTCTTCCTAAAAAAGCACAGTCTAAAAGAACTAGGATTTGATTTTTTTTTTAAGGGAAACAGAGAACTTCTTTAATCGGGGTCATGCTAATAGGGTTTCATTACCTAAAAACTTTCAATATGGAGAATAAATAAAATAGCGCTTATATTATGTAGAGGATTTTAAAAACTGGGAACATTTTATTTAATGTTCAAGGATATCATACCTGCAGAAATTCCCAGTACGCTACTTTTTAATTAATTAAAAATTTAAAAGCCATCTCAATCATTTGAAAATCAAAAAGAACTCTTAAGCTTAGATTTCTCTTTAGCCAAAATAACAATTAAGTTAACTATTTGAAATATTTTAAAAGCACTTACTCCAGTGGCTTCACTTAAATTTCTTAATTAGCAAAACACAAAACTACACAATTTTACTCTCTACCTCAAGTTTAGTTGAATTTATTAAGTGATAGGCTTAGGAAAAACGTTACCTTTCCTCCAGATTGCTTTTTAGCACTCTCATATAACTCATCAATGTGTGAAGTAAAAGACATAAAGTCAGGAATGACAAACTTTCTTCTAAAGGCTTGTGTCAACAAAACAATGTTGCTTTGAACACATCTGTGGAATACGAGAAAAAAATTAATAGACTGGGTACCTTTCAAATATTAGTACTTGCTAATAATAACAATATTAATCAGGAGAATATTCAAACAATAAAGAAATTCAACATTTTAAACAACAAACTAAATTCTATAAATTATACTCTTTCTACATTATTTTCTTTCCTTCAAGCTGCCTTTCATGTAGCTGCTTGTAAGCTGTTTAACAAGTTAAAGAAATAAATTAGCCTAAAAATTGTGTCAAAGATTAAAACAGCAGAGCATTCCACCAGATTAAGTACCAAGACCATCTAAAAACAAGCTTTTCAGCCTACCAGAGTTGATAAGCATTCAGCAAGACATTTGGTTAACAAAAATCAGACTTTAATATATAGCTGAGATCCTGTTTATTCTTCCATGAAATAACCTCAGACACATATCCTTTAATTTCTACGTATTACTAGTATTTCACAAAAAAATAAACATTTTGTATTTTAATATATTTTTCCTAAATTACATTTTGAAAAATTTGCATTTCTAAGCTAAAAAAAAGGGAACTAATACCAACTTCGTTTAGTCAGATTTGTCTCTTATATGAAATACTTATTAAAATGCTTATAAAAATAATGTATAACTTTAAAAATTATATACAGTAGTATAATAATTTTATATTATTTGTATCACCAAAAATGTTAAATTACATTATTCTATTCACTGTAAGATGTGTATACACATTGTAGAATAAAACTGTTTCACTGTTAAAAATTATTTAAAAGATATGGTAAACCATCTGGATAGGAGAGCATGAAATCTAATGATTTGAACCAATATTCTACTTTGTTTTAAAAAGGATTCAAGCTAGAAAATCAACTTATTAATGTAACCTTAAAGAGTTTAAAAATAGGTAACAGCCAGCCATATACTCTAAATTCATCTTCTTAAGAGAGTCTCAGAAACTTAGTAACAGAATAGTTAATTGATAAAGGAAGACATTTGCAGACCTGAGCATCAAGCCATAATATCAACTTAAGACTAAGCCCATAACAGACTAAAAAGTACTAAGTTTCAAGTACTATTTATCCTGCTTAACCCTCAAAACATGAACACTCTGAGAAGATGATTTCCCCACTTTACAGATAAGAAAAATCTGTGTTTAACTTGCAAGTAAATAACATGCACTAATTATAAATGGAGAGTCGGAGAAGTAGACACTCTCGGTATTTCTTTTTCAATCCATGGTAAATGATAAATTTTTATATCTCAGTATCTTAATTCAAGTTGTTCTAAATAAAACATCAAATTAGAATTAAAAGCCAGCTATCACACTTTAACTATTAATAAAAATCCAGAATATATACTCACTCGGTCAACATAAAATTAAACACTGATTTAAAATAAAATAGGTTATTTTCAGTGATAAAGATGTGCTTCAGTTACAACATGAAAAAGTTACAGTCCTAATTTCCATTATTAATCTACAGATGTAGAAATAATTGACATCCAAGAGATAACAAATATTTACTTCAATAAACTTTGATAAATTGACATAGTTTCAATGTTAATCTAATAAATACTTTTTGCTATTGACTTAATATTTAATATGCTCCAAACAGCAATTCAACTTGCACGTGAGTTGCAAGTAATATATAACAAAAGACACATTTCTCAGCAGAAAGAAGTTAGGACAATTCCTGACCTTAAATCACTATATCTGTATCAAATCAAATCTACATGCCCCCTTTTTCAAGAAGTATTACATGAGAAAATATGAGGACTGCCAAACATAAATTATTAACCTTACTACTAACTATTTAACTACTCAAAATTAAACAGCACTTTTAAAAGGAGGCTTTATCATTAACAATATTGTACAGTCAGTGAAACTGGGATTTTTTTTTTTTTGCTCTATCAGAAGGTGCTCATAAAGCTGTGCGAACAGCCTTCACTGGTGAATTACTATGGCCAACCAAGGCAATACCATTCAAAAGAGTGTCTAGCTGCACGATGATGAACAAACTGTAATGTTTTTCTTGGGAGTTACTTTAATATAGATGTCATGAATCTAAGTAGAAAACCAGAAGGGATATAAAGTGACCTGAGGAGGAAGTGCTTATGCTTTTCAACAGTCACATCTTTCTCATGCTTTGTTCAGTTTTCTCATCTGTAAACTGGTAATAATTTTTCTTTCCTTCTTTACTTAAATGTTTAGGGTTAGCAACTGTAATGCACATCAATGTTTTACAAAATATCTCACATATAATTTTTCATTAGTAAAATAACATAGTGGATAAGAACTTTTTAAGAAAAAGCAAATACAAAGACTACCATTCATTTCCTCCAAAACAAAAAAGATAAAAAAATTATGATCACACATAAAAATACTTCTAATATTTATATGGCTAAAAATGCATGAATAAATAAGGCATTCCTTTTCAGTACAAATTTTCTACTTCTATTGAGATTATTAGCATTAAAAACAATTGATTATCTAGATAGGTACAGGCAGTCTCCAACTTTCAAATAGACCATGCTCCAAAAAGTATGCATAGAATTCATCTTCCCATTCAGAAAAAATTCTACATATTAGATGTTTCTCAGATTACCCTCAAAGGCTAAATATATTAAGCAACAATGTATTTTAGGTAAAATATCAACACGCTGACTTCAACCAAACCTTTCCACTTTCCTTTACAAATTACTTCTTTGGGAAGATGAATTCCATTGCATCCACCTGCATGGAGGTGAGATTATTTCTGGCAACACTAACTAGAAAACTTCTCATTCTGAAAACAGAGAAAAAACTTCTCTGAAGCAATCACCGTTCCAGGTGACCTGAAAAGGTTAATAGTCAGAGGTTTTTTTTGTTTGTTTGTTTTGGTTTTTTTTGGCGGTACACGGGCCTCTCAGTGTTGTGGCCTCTCCCGTTGCGGAGCTCAGGCTCTGGCTGGACGCGCAGGCTCAGTGGCCATGGCTCACGGGCCCAGCCACTCCGCGGCATGTGGGATCCTCCCGGACCGGGGCACGAATCCGTGTCCCCTGCACTGGCAGGCGGACTCTCAACCACTGCGCCACCAGGGAAGCCCAATAGTCAGAGGTTTTGAATCACCTCATTCTAGGGATGAAAAGAGAAATCATATGCCTATAGACGTAAACTTTTCCATTGCTTGTTCACATATACCACTAAGCATTTGTCAAGTTGGGAACTGCCTATATTACAATCATCAATTTTTTTAAAAATAATGTAGTGTTTAAAATAATGCTAATTGTTAGTTTTTAATATACTTATGGGTAGAAAATTTTATGATTGTTTCCTGGCTTCATACTCAGTGTATTTAAATTACTTTCAATTTCATATTTAAACAGAGCAATATGTTTATGAAGCACAAAAGAAATTTAACCAGTACTAAAAAGGTATAAAATTCTGCTTTCACTTAGGAATTCCAAAGCAATTCCTTATACCCATTATCAACAGACCTACCTACCAACTCTCTGACAACTTCATTTTCAGATATACCAAAATAACCCCCCAGAAGGCACCCCACAATCAAGATACTTTGCACAAAGAGTTCATGAACACTAAAAGTAAAATAATCTTTACTGCAAAGGCACAGCTAACTAGAAGTGATTTCCTTCCCTTCACAAAGAAACAGGTTCTGAAGATTCAAAATTCCTAACACCAATTCCAACATGGAACTAAAATCTACACTTAATAAGGTCGGCTGAGTTCACAGAATCAAGAATCTTGTGGTGAAAAGACAGAGATCTAAAATTGCCAGCAGTGCTTCACAGTATGCCAAGATACTTGGGAGGATCTCAGTTAAATACTTATACCTTCAGATGACTTAATATTCCAGGATATTCCCAGGAGACATCTAGAACAAATCATCTAGCCCCCAAAAGACAATAAAAGAAAAAAATAATAAAAATGCATACATACAAATAAACTTTCAAGGTAGATGCTGGAATTCTTTGGATCTATTCCAACCTAAGCCTATGGTCTGGAAAAAGCCAATACCTTACAGTAGTGTTTACAGTTTTATACAAGTTTTCATTTAATTTTAGTTGTAAAATACCATTTACCTCCTTGGGATCCATGACAAACTTGCTGTCTATTAAATCATTAAGCAATCAGACTAGTAGGAACACATTAATGAAGATAAATAATAAAGATATGCAAATATAAGAAAGTCAAAATAAATATTCTCATTCAACCAAATGAAGGCATTCATGTCCAAAGTTAGCATTAAGTTTTTAAACATTATGAAAAAAACAAAAACAGCCAAAAGCCTATGTAGTAATATGTCTGAAGAGAGGAGAGAAGCAGACAACAGAGACATATAAAACTAACAAATATAGGCTGCCTGAAGCCTTCTCATTTTACGGTGTCATCTAAAACACCTTGTAGGAAAGAACTGAGACCATGTTGAGAAAGGCTGCAAGATATGCAGATGAATTAAGAGATCAATTTAAGCCATGACAGGACAAAGAGTGTGCTCTATTCAAACCGAATGCAATCTCCAGGTACTATAAATTGGAAACATCCATGGCTGCGCTTCCTCAGAACAGTTTCCAAGTATATTCTTAGCCCCAATGTATTATAGAACTTTAATGTGCACCAAGTTGTTCCAAACAATTTATGTTTATAAGTCCCCTCCCCCCTTTTTTCAGTTACACAGGAAGCACTGGTCTTCAAAGATGCAATTTCGTTTTAAAAGAAAAATCACCATATAGCATAGCAAGTGACCATTAAAGGTTTGGCAGAAATTTTTACTTTTTAAAAAGATCTTTGTCTAGCATGACACCATCTGATGTTGTTTGAAGAGTTAATCTTAACATATCCATACACTCTTTCAACCTGGGATCAGACGTTCGCAATCCTGTAGATTTGAGTGCCTGTTTTTAAAAAAATAAGAGTTTGTAAATATATAGTGCAAATAAGGTATATGCTTATTCCAACTACAAGTTTTTAATTTCTGTATATAAAAACTTCTACACAAGACCTGAATATGTATATGGCATTTTAGTGTCACTATTACCCACTTTCTGGACAAGTTTCTCATTGTTTCTTTCATTTTCTTTCATTGATTACCTTGAAATGAGCATGATGAAAATTTGAAAATAAGAGAAACAGTGTCAGTCAGAATCTACACGTCAGATGACCTTTAAGACTACATTTCAATATTACCATATTATTGATTCAGTATTACTGATTTTTAAAAAGTGAAGATAGAAAAATATAAAAACTTACTGTAATAAATTTATGAACAGGTATTTTCTCTTGTCCTTCTGCGATTGTATAGAATAGCAAATCTTCCAAGCTAGGTAACAGACCCTGCTTTATTTTACTAAAGGGGGAAAAAAGAAGACAAAATTAACCCTTATGTGGACATTCAAGTGGATTTTAGCTATATCCATTTAAAAATAATCATTGAACCAGACTACAGTTGAGTTGATCTATTCATCAAGACCTAATATCATAATAAATGCTGATTTACCAAAATCAAACAGTATTACTGAAACCGCACTGAAAAACAAGTTTAAAAAATGATTCATTAATTAATACAGATATCCTTTAATCCCAAGTTTTAAAATCTTGAGTACTATTTCTAGTGGTGCTAATGCCTAGCCATCTGTTATGGTAATACCTTCCTGTACAGCCTAATACAATCACCCAATATTAATTATGGAGCCTAGCCAATGCTCAGGTAAGAGTCAATACTTTGTTCTCTTGTTGTTATTGTTTTTTAATATGATGACTATACATATATATTGTTCAAAGTTAACCTGATTGTAAATCTGGGGGAGAGAACAATTAAGTACTGGACAGTGAAGACTAGTGCGTAAGTCCTTGAATCCTGGCTACAATACTTACTAGCTGAGTCACCCTGGATAAATTAATTAACCTTTCTGTTAATCAATTTCCTCATCTGAGAAAGGGAGATAATAGGGCCTGCCTCACAGGGTTCTTGTGAGAATCAGTTGACTTAATACATTCAATATCTTTAGAGCACTGCCTGGCAGAGAGTAAGTACTCAATCGTTGGTAGTTGTAGTTACTATTTCTAAAGTGACCTAGGCTTTTACATGTACAGATCAAATGTCACAAATCACAAAGGCTGTTAGAATAAAAAGTTTACCATAAAAATACATTAAAATCTAGTATAAAGTGCTATGATTAACCAAACTTTTAATCAAGAAAAATTTTTTCCTATCCGTTGAAAAGCTTTCAGGTAAACAAACTATAATGAACCTATTTAATGTCTTCTTTTTGGGGGCTCTGAAACTGAAATGAATACATTTCAATATTCTGAACATCTATGACTGCCATAAGTATTATAGTGATGTTATGAGAATTTCAGATCTAGGGTAGACCAATCCCCTCTCCATCCATCACTATTTATTAAAATCAAAGGTAGAAATATATACGTGTGTGTATATGTATAGAATGTGTACATATATAAAATATCTGGAAAGACTTTACCTGTATTTCAAGAAAGAGAGAAAATTAGAGAGTGGTTCATATATTTCTAACTTAAAAGACAATAGAATACAGTGTTCTTTCACAGAGCACGTACATTTACATATGGACATATAAAATTTCTCCTAAAAGACACATTAATGTTGGCATTAATATCATTTATACTTGTTTTCAAAGCTGTTATACCAACTTTTAGTTCTTAAAGTCAACCCTAAAGTATAGGAATTTCATACCAATGTTTAAAAAAAAACTAACACATAGGATTATTGTAATTTAATGATATATCCCAGATATATAAATATTCCCTGAAGCAATTTTGGCTCTTAAAGAACTTTTAAAAATGTATTTGGGATATTTTAATAATAAGAGTTAAAATTTATTGATCACTTTTGTTAAGTGCTCTGCTGTTTTACATTCGTTCTAATTTAATCCCTCCAAAGATGTCATAACAGAAGGTACCATTATCCAAAATATAGTATGGTTCCCAGCACACAGTAGAAGCTCAATTTATTCATTATTTATTAAAAAAAAAAATGACTAACTCTATCCCCATTTCACAGAGGCTCAGACAGGTCAACAAACTTCCCAAGACTGCAAAGTGGTAGAGATATAGTTAGAACCTCTGTTTCTCTGAATCCAGAGTCCAAACTATATACCACTACAGTTTTACTGGCTCTCAAACGTACTAGCTAGTTATTACTTTTATAAGGTACAATTTTTCTAGGTTTTACCCTGATCTAAAACCATTAAACAGGATTCAACAATACTGATGACTTAATATAATACATTTAAAGAAAAATTGAGCCAGCTGTCAAAAACAATCAGTGGAAAATAACATACCAATTATTTACAGAAAGTGGTTTGTCAAATAAACTTCAGATTGTGGTAGTTTATCGCTTTAAACTGCAGAATAAGCTTTCTATGTATTTATCACAGCAGTAAATGTATTTGTTTTGCCTAAAAGCTATGTAAGTAACATAAAATATACACTTCTTTAGCTTATGGTACATAGGGCAAAAAAATTAAAATGACCATGTTTACTTCCACAGCCAGCAAAAAAAGGTAAATATTTACTTACTTTTGGAGAAGAGACTAATTTTTATCCATAGGAGAGAGATTTAAGTCATCCCTAAAAAAAATGCTCGCAAAATAAATGTTCAAAATTGATGTTTTTAAAAAAAGTACTACCAATCTCAGCATTTAAAAGCTCAGACTCTTATTTGAGAATGAGTTCACTTCAACAGTCTGGTGAACAAATGCACAGATTCTCCCCAAACAACACACAGAAGTTATTCCAAAGACCTTTCTTGGTATTACCCCCTTTTCTTTCCCCAAATTTAATATGGTTTTGTGGCAATGCTTCATGATAATACATTTTGCTCTTAAAACTCAAAAGCTAAAAATTATAGTTTTCAGACTATATAGTAACTAGGATATTCCTGAGAAGTATTTAAGTTTTAATGACAAAAAAATAGACTATAACAGGCTTTCAAATTGTAATATCAACAATTGTTGATAAGCCCTCAGATTCCTTAAGGAAAAACATGAATGGTTATGACACTCAGCAACTAAAATGGGATATTTAAATCCAAAGTAAAGTCCTTGTTTCATGCCTTTTTATTCCTTCCCTTTCATTCTCCCTCATTTTCTTTCTAATTTCTGCCTTTAAGATCTTTTCACTGCCATTTTGTTCCTTCTTTTACCCATTCCTTCTCCTACTTTACCCTCACAAAATACCTGCCTACAACACAGAAATGATTTCTTTAAAAAATTTAAAAAAAAATCCCATGTATTTAACTGGCATCTATAACATGTACAGCATTATAGTAGTCATTACTTACAGTCGAAAAGGGAAATAGAAGACATATATCATGAGGAATTACAAGAAAGAAACAATGGGATCCAATCACTGGAAAATTACTTCACTGTGGACTAATAAGGTAAAGTTTTAGGAGAGGTGGAATTAGAGCTAGACTTGAAAGATGGGTAGAAGCTGGAAATATGGCAACAGAAGAGGTTTCCGGCCAAGGAAACAGAATGACCACAGCAATGAAGGTAACCATTCACTGGGTATTCACAAAGAACAGCGAACAGTTAGAGCACAGTATATGTGAATTAAGGTGCCTGTTTCCACCCATGAGCTGTTAAAATACCTAATTTTCAGGGTTGAGAGAGATCTATATAAATCAACCAATAAATGAAGAGACTACCAAAAATTTACATATGGAGTTTAAATTCAGGGGCAATTTCTGCAAACATGAAAAGAGACACTGTCTTTGATTACTGATCAACCAGTTTCCCAATACCAAAAGACAATTAAAACTCCTCAGTCTGAGATTCAGTTTATAATTTGGCTTGGTACTATCTATTCTATCAAATTTTTCTACATAAAAAACTGTACTATCAAATGAAAGGAGGAAAATGAACTGCAAAATGAGAAGAGGAAAAGAAATGGAAACTAACTATATTGTCTTATTGTTAAATAACGTTTCATATTACTTGACCTTTCCAAACTATAAAAGCTGGAGTAATGTCTGTCTTTTTTTTTTTTTTTTTTTTGTCAACCCCATATAACTCAAATGCCTAATACAGTGTAGTGTGGTAAACCTATCAGATAATCAAAAACTTTCAACTAGGTTTAAAAAAAAATGATGCTCACTGATAGAATGAAAAAGAATGCTTTGGTGTTTTTACTTATGTCTTCATTTTAAAACAATGATCTTTAAAAAATATCTGGAGTTGTTTCTAAATCAGTTTATCATTTTGATTTTCAGAGTGATCTGACTGACAGAAAGTGTCCATCAACACCAGTAAATTAGCAGATTAAACCTGTGAGGATGAAAGCTGAATTGATAGTGGCTGACCATATACCATTGTAAATCTGACAAAGTGATAAATTCTGCTCAATCTCTAAATCATTTTGTCCCAAGGCTAATTATTGGGGAATTTAAAAACAAAATCTTACATCTTTTAAAGTTTTATTGTTAAAAAAGGATTTTCTGTTGTTTCATCTTATAACTTCATGTGATAAAGCAAAGTGGGTAAACTGTCCCCTATTTACAGATAAGGACAGAGTCTCAAAGTCAAGCAATATGTATGTCCAATGTCACACAACTCTTAAGTAACTGGACCAGATTTAGTCCTAGAAAGCCAGTACTTGGTTCCTAAACCCAGATTCCTCCTGCTATGCCACACTGGCTGTGCTGAGTTGTTACACTCCATTTTAGGAGGAATACCTGGAGTTTATTCAGAATAATGAAAGATGAGACTCCTTACATATTGAAGAATTTCTAACCAAAATGCTAATAGGGGAATTACTTATGTTAGATGACTAAATTGTTATTCTGCCTTGTTGAAACTGTACCTTGTACAAAGCAAGGATGAGATTATATTAAATTAGGGCTGCTGTTTTGGCTGGACTTTATTTAAATTTATTCAAGAGCAAGTCAAAGTAAGAATCACAAAAGCCAGCTTTATTACGTAAGGAAGTGGCCAGGCTGTCCACATCAGCCGATGGCAATTTGTCCATGTGTAGAGCTTTAGAAGTCTAACCCAGGGGGACAGTCTGCCTGACTCCGATGGGAGAATGAGGACCTGGGCAGATCAAGTCCCTAAGGTCCAATTCTGTTAGTCCTTCCAACCTTGTATTCCTTCAGTCAAGTATCCGTTAACAAATCATTCTAGTTGTAAAAATACAGATGTGTGAATTCTGTTACTGCAATCACTTTGATATCACACTAGAGATGACTTCTTCAAAATAACTAAAATATATAGATAGAAGTTAACAAAAGGCAGACTAGCTACACATAAGGAAAAACAAAACAACTCTGAAAATGGAATGGGCTGCCTTCAAAGGGACTAAATTCTC